GAGACATCCTCGCAACTCTGAGCTCGGAGATGCGGTGCGCAAGGTGGTCCGGCCCGTTTCGCACAAGACATTCTCGCAACTCTGAGCTCTCAGATGCTGCGCAAGAGGTGGTCCAGCCTGGGGGCCCAGAAGACCGCATGTTACATATCCCCCTTGGGACCCTGGGAGCCCCAGGAGGCCCCAGAGAGCTTCAGGAAGTCGCAGGACGCCCAGGACAGGCCCCAGGGGTCCGCAGGAGATTCCCAGGAGGCTCCCAGGAGGCCCCCTAAGGCCCCCTATCAGAACGTGTCCAGTTAATACACATCCGGTGTCGATTCGTTGATTTTTCCTGCTCTCGTGGCCCCCTCTCCCTCGTTTTGGGGGGCCCCGACGGCCACATGTTAGACATCCCCCCTGGGAGCCCCAAGAGGCTTCAGGAAGCCCCAGGTGGGGTCCAGGAGGCCACAGGAGGCCCAGGAGGAAGCCCCAGGAGGTCACCAGGAGCTCCCTGGAGGCCCCAGGAGGCCCCCGCAACTCGGAGCTCTGAGACGCCGCGCTCGAGGTGGTCCGGCCCGTTTCGCCTGAGACTTCCTCGCAGCACGTTTCGCCCGAGACATCGTCGCAACTCTGGGGTCCGAAATGCCGCGCGCGAGGTGGTCCAGCCCGTCACGTTGGAGACATCCTCGCAACTCTGGGCTCCGAGATGCCCTGCGCGAGGTGGTCCGGCCCATCTCGCCTGAGACATCCTCGCAACTCTGAGCTCTGAGATGCGGTGCGCAAGTTGGTCCGGCTCGTTTCGCACAAGACATTCTCGCAACTCTGAGCTCCCAGATGCTGCGCAAGAGGTGGTCCAGCCTGGGGGCCCAGAAGACCACATGTGGCTCCCAGGAGGCCCCAGAGAGCTTCAGGAGGCCGCAGGACGCCCAGGACATGCCCCAGGGGTCCCCAGGAGATTCCCAGGAGGCTCCCAGGAGGCCCCAGGAGGCCCCCTCTCAGAACGTGTCAAGTTAATACACATCCGGTGTCGATTCGTTGATTCCCAAAACAGCTTGCTAAACGGGGTGGGGTGCTGTTGTGATAGAAGCTAACTCCGGCCGAGGGAAGTCGGAGCAGAGACATCCTCACAAAAATTTGATAGTCGGGGCCGTTTCGCTTGAGACATCCTCACAACTCTCGTTTCTGAGTTGGCCGGGATTGGCCGTTTCGCCTGAGACATCCTCGAACAGTTGGGCTCCGGGACGCCGCGCGAGAGGTGGTCTGGGCCGTTTCGCTTGAGACATCCTCGAAACTCTAAGCCCCGAGGTGCCGTGCGAGAGGTGGTCTGGGCCGTTTCGCCTGAGACATCCTCGAAATTCTGAGCTCTGAGATGCCCTGCGCGAGGTGGTCCGGCCTGTTTCGCCCGAGACATCCTTGAACCTCTGACTTCGGAGATGCCGCGCGAGAGGTGGTCCGGCCCGTTTCGCCTGAGACATCCTCGAACTTCTGAGTTCTGAGATGCACTGCGCGAGGTGGTCTGGCCCGTCTCGCCTGAGACATCCTCGCAACTCTGAGCTCTGAGATGCCGTGCGCAAGGTGGTCTGGCCTGTTTCGCACAAGACATTCTCGCAACTCTGAGCTCCCAGATGCCGCGCAAGAGGTGGTCCAGCTTGGGGGCCCAGAAGACCACATGTTACATATCCTCCCTGGGACCTTGGGAGCCCGCCTGAGACATCCTCGAACTTCTGAGCTCTGAGATGCCCTGCGCGAGGTGGTCCAGCCCGTCTCGCCTGAGACATCCTCGCAACTCTGAGCTCTGAGATGCCGTGCGCAAGGTGGTCTGGCCTGTTTCGCACAAGACATTCTCGCAACTCTGAGCTCCCAGATGCCGCGCAAGAGGTGGTCCAGCTTGGGGGCCCAGAAGACCACATGTTACATATCCTCCCTGGGACCTTGGGAGCCCGCCTGAGACATCCTCGAACTTCTGAGCTCTGAGATGCCCTGCGCGAGGTGGTCCAGCCCGTCTCGCCTGAGACATCCTCGCAACTCTGAGCTCTGAGATGCCGTGCGCAAGGTGGTCCAGCCTGGGGCCCAGAAGACCACATGTTACATATCCTCCCTGGGACCCTGGGAGCCCCAGGAGGCCCAGAGAGCTCCAGGAGGCCGCAGGACGCCCAGGACAGGCCCCAGGGGTCTCCAGGAGATTCCCAGGAGGCTCCCAGGAGGCCCCAGGAGGCCCCCTATCAGAACGCGTCAAGTTAATACACATCGGGTGCGGATTCGGTGATTTTTTTTGCTCTTGTGCCCTTCCCTCCATTTTGAGAGGCCCAAGCGGCCACAGGTTAGATATCCCTCCTGGGAGCCCCAAGAGGCTTCAGGAAGCCCAAGGTGGAGTTCAGGAGGCCACAGGAGGCCCAGGAGGAAGCCCCAGGAGGTCCCCAGGAGGCCCCAGGAGGCACCAGGAGGCCCCCGCAACTCGGAGCTCTGAGACGCCGCGCTCGAGGTAGTCCGGCCCGTTTCGCCTGAGACTTCCTCGCAGCGCGTTTCGCCCGAGACACCGGCCCGTCTCGCCTGAGCAAGATATTCTCGCAACTCTGAGCTCTGAGATGCCGTGCGCAAGGTGGTCCAGTCTGGGGGCCCAGAAGACCGCATGTTTCTTTTCCCCTTGGGACACTGGGAGCCCTAGGAGGCCCCAGAGAGCTTCAGGAAGTCGCAGGACGCCCAGGACAGGCCCCAGGGGTCCGCAGGAGATTCCCAGGAGGCTCCCAGGAGGCCCCAGGAGGCCCCCTCTCAGAACGTGTCAAGTTAATACAAATCCGGTGCCGATTCGTTGATTTTTCTTGTTCTTGTGGCCCCCACATTTTGGGGGGCCCCGACGGCCACATGTTAGATATCCCCCCTGGGAGCCCCAAGAGGCTTCAGGAAGCCCCAGGTGGGGTCCAGGAGGCCAAAGGAGGCCCAGGAGGAAGCCCCACAGGAGGTCACCAGGAGGCCCCAGGAGGCCCCTGCAACTCGGAGCTCTGAGACGCCGCGCTCGAGGTGGTCCGACCCATGTCGCCTGAGACTTCCTCGCAGCACGTTTCGCCCGAGACATCGTCGCAACTCTGGGGTCCGAGATGCCGCGCGCGAGGTGGTCCAGCCCGTTTCGCCTGAGACATCCTCGCAACTCTGGGCTCCGAGATGCCCTGCGCGAGGTGGTCCGGCCCATCTCGCTTGAGACATCCTCGCAACTCTGAGCTCTGAGATGCCGTGCGCAAGGTGGTCCGGCTCGTTTCGCACAAGACATTCTCGTAACTCTGAGCTCTCAGATGCTGCGCAAGAGGTGGTCCAGCCTGGGGACCCAGAAGACCACATGTTACATATCCCCCCTGGGACCCTGGGAGCCCCAGGAGGCCCCAGAGAGCTTCAGGAGGTCGCAGGACGCCCAGGACAGGCCCCAGGGTCCGCAGGAGATTCCCAGGAGGCTCCCAGGAGGCCCCAGGAGGCCCCCCCCCCTCTCAGAACGTGTCCATAATACACATCGAGTGTCGATCCGTTGAGTTTTCCTGCTCTTGTGCCCCCCCCCCCCCCATTTTGGGGGGCCCCGATGGCCACATGTTAGACATACATCCCCCCCTGGGAGCCCCAAGAGGCTTCAGGAAGCCCCAGGTGGGGTCCAGGAGGCCACAGGAGGCCCAGGAGGAAGCCCCAGGAGGTCACCGGGAGCTCCCAGGAGGCCCCAGGAGGCCCCCGCAACTCGGAGATCTGAGACGCCGCGCTCGAGGTGGTCCGGCCCGTTTCGCCTGAGACTTCCTCGCAGTACGTTTCGCCCGAGACATCGTCGCAACTCTGGGGTCCGAGATGCCGCGCGCGAGGTGGTCCAGCCCGTCACGCTGGAGACATCCTCGCAACTCTGGGCTCCGAGGTGCCCTGCGCGAGGTGGTCCGGCCCATCTCGCCTGAGACATCCTCGCAACTCTGAGCTCTGAGATGCCGTGCGCAAGGTGGTCCGGCCCGTTTCGCACAAGACATTCTCGCAACTCTGAGCTCTCAGATGCTGCGCAAGAGGTGGTCCAGCCTGGGGGCCCAGAAGACCACATGTGCCTCCCAGGAGGCCCCAGAGAGCTTCAGGAGGCCGCAGGACGCCCAGGACAGGCCCCAGGGGTCTCCAGGAGATTCCCAGGAGGCTCCCAGGAGGCCCCAGGAGGCCCCCTCTCAGAACGCGTCAAGTTAATACACATTCGGTGTCGATTCGTTTATCTTTCTTGCTCTTGTGCCCCCCCCTATTTTGGGGGGCCCCGACGACCACAAGTTAGATATCCCCCCCTGGGAGCCCCAAGAGGCTTCAGGAAGCCCCAGGTGGGGTCCAGGAGGCCACAGGAGGCCCCGAGGTGGTCCGGCCCGTTTCGCCTGAGACTTCCTCGCAGTACGTTTCGCCCGAGACATCGTCGCAACTCTGGGGTCCGAAATGCCGCGCGCGAGGTGGTCCAGCCCGTTACGCTGGAGACATCCTCGCAAATCTGGGCTCCGAGATGCCGTTCGGGATGAAGAGGAGGTGGAGGAGGAGGAGGAGGAGGAGGAGGAGGAGGAGGAGGAAGAGGAGGCATGTTTTAACATGCCATGCCAGTCCGCACTGGACGGGCACGCAATCGACCTTGGAAACCGCAGTGGGTCTAAATACTTTGTTTGGGGATACTGCACTCCGGCTATAATGATTATCTTATAGTTTCTCAGTTTCTTCCAACATCCGCCCGTAGGTGGACATGCCCGACCTAATTTATCACACACCGATCTTGGGCCCAGGAGTGGGCCCAGCCGGGAGATCCTCGTCTGCTTTTTTAAGGTCATGGCCCGGGTGCCTCTTGCGCCCGAACGGGACGAGTCGGGCACCGCGGACGCATTCGGCGAGGGGCAGCTGCTGGCACGCCTCTCGCGTCCGCAAGCCACGAGTCCCTAAAACAGAGCTAGGATCTGGATAAATCGCTCCAGAGCGTTCCGGAGCGCTCTCAGAGCGTTCCGGAAAGCTCTGGAGCGGCCGCGGCGCCCAATACATCCTCCAATCCCGCCGATTCTCAGGGATTTCGAGTTATCCCGATCCGATTTTGTCCCGATCTTCGCGTCGTTTTAGTCCCGACCCCACGCCGGTGTGCAGTTGACGCCCCCCCACCAGGCGAAGCGTCGGCGCGAGCAGGCCGCGCTGCCGCACCTGCCCGGCATCAGGCTCGTGGCGTGCGGCGGCGGCGCGCCGAGGCTCGGGCCGAGCCTGCTCGGCGAGGTCTGCGCGCGGCAGATCGGGCGGTGGCTGGCAGGCCATCGCGGGCGACTAGCACACGTTGTCTAAACAGCCGAGTCGCACAGTGAGGAGGAGCCACCTTCCAAGGCTACCCCAGATTTCGTTTTAAAAGGGAGGGGGTCACAACCCTCCCAGACCAGAAGGTTTAGACCCCCCCAGACCATCCATGAAAGGGCGGCCCTTTGCCCAGACCCCCCCGAACCCTTCAAGACAGCTCAAATCAGACCTCCCCGCCAAATGTGACCCCCCCTACTTTATTATGGAATCCGGAGTACCCTTGTATCCTTGCCCATTGGCCCATGCCTGGCCACTTTCGCTGGCCAGCCCCGCTCGAAAGCGCCAGCATTGCCCTCCAAGGCCCCTGCCCCCGGCCCGAGCTTCCTCAATTGTGCGACTCGGCTGCGCCCATGCCAGTGCGGTCTGGACACCGAGGCGCGATCCCATGGATACACGGCCCCATGGTTACGTTCTGTGCAAAGGCTCCGCGAGAAGCCGCCCGTGATGCACCGGGTCGCGGCAGGAGAGTTCAGACCGCGAAGCCGTGGATGTGGATACGTTTCTTGCCCGCGAGGCGAGAGTTCTGGGGAGTTGGCGTGCCTCTATTTGGAGAAGAAAATTAGACTGAATCATAAATTGTGGGAGGTCCGAGCGGGTCTCTTGCATCGGCGCTGCACCCTCCCAGCCGCGCCTCTGGCGCCGCCCCCGGTGCCGCCCTTGGCGCGCTCCGCACTGCAGGGGTTCGGCGCTGATCCAAGAAACAGCTGGGATCTCCCACAGGTTTTATGATTGTGCCGATATTTTTGTCTTCTCTCCATGTGGACGACTGGAGCCAGGGGGAGGTCACTTTCCCCGAGCTCCCTGGCGGAGAGCTCCAGACCAGCCTCGCCGTCGTCGCAGGGATGTTGGCCGACCCGTCGCTCCAGCGCAGCTGCACCTCGCAACTGCTCGAGACCACCTTCGCATTGGCTCCAGCGAAGGCGGCCCAGGGAGCGGTGCATGAGGTCAGCATTGATTGTTGAACCGCTCCCCATACCCATTGACCCATGATATCTTAGCCCCGCCACCCAGCCCCCCAATCATCGAGCATAACAGAGCCCCTAACCCTGATAACCCCCTATCTTCGCATTTGGGAGAATACGTGTGGGCGGTTATGTTCGATCTATATAAAGAATATACCTCTTATCCCTCATGTGTTTGTTTCTTCATTCAGGCTCCCTCACAAGTGCTAGGAGCCCTTATAATGCTAATCACCCAAGGTGGGGATATACCCCGCGAAGCCCGAAGGGAACAGCATATAATCCACCTCGGGCGGTAAATCGGTCAGTGGGGCCAAGGCCATGCCAGTGGAGATTGGGATCGGCCAAACGATGCTCATCAGGTGCTGGAGCTGGCTAGCGCCGACGTCGCCGACAACGGCGACGTGCTTGCGTCCGCCATCGAGCACGCTCTTGCCGTCCTCGAAGCGGGCGCCGCAAGGGAGGGGCCGTCCAGGCGCATGGAGGCGGAGGTGCGCCGCGAGCTGGTGAGGGCGCTGCTGCCCGGCGCCTGCGGCACGGTTGACGACACCGATCCGGTGAACGACCGGCAGCTCCTGCGAGAGCTGGCGCAGACGCCCCAGCAGGCGAGCGAGGCGGCCTCGCAGAAGGCCGCGGCATGCCTGCGTCGGGAGGCACAGGCCCTCGACGGCTACCTCGTGCGGCTGCTGCGGCTGAAGCGCGCGCTCGCCTTGCGGCTTGACCAGTGGGAGAAGGTGGACCACTACGCCATCCTCGGGGTGTCCTCGAGCTGCAGCGACAAGGAGCTGAGGAACGCGTACCGGAAGGCCTGTCTTCGCCTGCACCCCGACAAGGGCGGGGACAAGGAGCAGTTCCAGAGGCTGCAAGACGCGTACGCCTTCTTGCTGGAGGAGCGCGAGAGGCGTCGGGCGGCCAGAACCATACGATGGCCAGGCCCTTCCTGGGCCGAGTAGAGCAGGGCGCACACACCGATCCTGGGCCCAGGGGTGGGCCTGGCTGGGCGTGGTGCCTGGTTGTGTCGGAGCAGCACAAGCAGAGACGACGGCAGCTCACAAATCGGTACCCGGACCCCTCCCGGGGTCCGCGCGCACCAGTCTCCCGAGCTGCGCCCGGCCGTGAAGCGACCAGGGGGCTGCCCGCTCGAGGGCCATGACTGCCCCCCTGGCCCCAGCTATCGCCCTCCTCGGACCACCTTGTTGCTCAGCTTGTGGGCAATAGTTATATCTACATCCAGTGCGTCTTGGAGTGTTGGGCTCTCTTCCCCAGAAGCCGGAGGCGCACTGATATCCAGTGCGCCTCGGCCTTGCGACACCCCTTCCCAAAAAGTCCAAGACGCTCTGGATCTGGATATGAGTATCGCCCGCACAGCTGGCGCCCCAGGCAGGGCCGCGCCGCGCCCGCGCCGGCCCCGAGGCCCCCCGGGGCCTCCGAGCCCCCTGCGCCGGGCGGGCCGCCGGGGCCCGACGTGCCCGCCGCTCCCGGCGGGCCGGGCGCGGCCCGCGGCGGCGGGCGCGGCGCCCGGCCTCTCGCGCTCGAGGGCGCGGCCGGGCCGCCCCGCGCCGGCGCCCCGGCCGCAGCGGCGGAGGTGGGGCCATCCACAGAGGGGTGCGGGGCGGAGAGAGCGGCCACGGATGGAGCAAAGCACGTCGGAGGATGGCAGGGAGGCGGTGGCGGAGCGTCCTGGCTCGCCTCCAGGCCCACCAGAGAATGGTCTAAGGACCTGTTGCGGTCAGCACGCAGTGTTCTTCTGTCAGTTCTGGCTGAGTCTGGCTTGTTTCAGCACGTCGGCTTTCTGTTGTAGTAGCATCGCTTTTGTTCTTAGAGCATTATTTTGTTCTCATATTGCTTCGTGGTAGGCCTTTCGGATTGCCAGGACGGTCGGTCCATGCTCAAGGTGTCGGATGTCGAGCAATACGATTCGATGCCGATTCTGGCCGGGTCGAACTGAATCGATTTCCTCATGCAGACATGCTCGCGTTGTGGGCAAAAAGCACTACGGCCAGTCCGTCGAAGGGTCGGTCCAGTGGAATGGGTCGAGACCTCCGGGGAAGCACGTGGTGAGACAATCATGACGTCGGAGGTCTTGCAGTCTGGGATTCGATTTCGATTCTGGCCGGCCTGATCCGACTCGATTCCCATCGTGGACGATCCCATGCTGGCGCTGTTGAGCTTCCTGGCGAGGCCGATCCGATTTGATCCTCCAGCATCTCGCGCCAGTGCAGCCCGATTCGATCCGATTTACGACTTGATGTTGGCTGTGATCCTGGAGGTGCTGGAGGCGGAGGGGCGTCTCCAGGAGCCATGGGGAAACGAGCCCTGGAGTCCTGGAGGCTTCCCGGGCTGCTGTCGGGGCCCTCTCAGGGCCCCCGGGAGCGTCGAAGGCCCGTGGCCCGGCCTGCAGGGGAAGGCCCCGGGATCCATCCAGGGCCCCCTCTCCCTCAGGATCGTGCCTCCCTCTCTCGCGCCGAGGAGTGCGCCAGCAGCGCCGAGGAGCGCGCGCGCTCCGCTGAGGACGCGGCGGCGCGGGTGCAGGCGCTCCGGAAGGCCGTGGGCGGCGAGGGGCTCGAGAGGCTGCGCGCGGCCCAGGAGGCGGGGGAGGCGCTGCAGCGGCTGAGCCGCGCGGCCGGGGAGCTGGGCCCGAGGCTCGGGGAGCTCGCCATGGAGGTGGCGGAGTGCAGCCTGGCGCTCTCGGCGCGCTTCTCGGCGGTGCCTGCCTCCATGCTGCTCACGGACGTGGCCCTCTCGTGCACCTTCGAGGCCTGCCGCATGCAGCACGCCGCGCGGCAGCTGCTCGAGGTCGGCAGGGATACGGCGTCGACGCTGCAGGCGCTCAAGAGCAGCCTGGACATGGGGAGGGTCGTCGGAACGGTGGACGGCGAGACGCTGAAGCTCTCTCTCGGCCTGCTGGGCAAGGCCGCTGCGCGGATGCTCTCGTCGCTCCGGCAGCTCGCGAGCGCGGTGCGGGACGCCGCGCAGCGTGGGCGCCAGTGCGGCGCCCGCGCCAAGATGGTTGCCGCCTTCGCTGAGCGGCGGGCCGCGTCGGAGGAGGCCGCCGCCGACGAGCCGGCCGCGGCCGCGATCGGAGGCCCGGAGGGCTGGGCCCCCGGACAGCCGGCGCCCGAGGCGAGCACCGGCCCGGAGGGCCGAGGCGCGCCCGATGGGCAGGGCGCCCAGCAGGGCGCGGCGCCGGCGGCCCCGTGCGGCGGGCAACCCCAGGTGGCTCCGCCGCCGCCCGGCTGCGCACAGGCGGCCGCCATGGCCAGGCTGCTCGAGGCTCGGATGCAGAACGACAGGCTGCTGAGGCCCAGGGCCTCGGGGGAGGAGAGGAAGGTATGGGCTCGTTTTGGCCTCTGGCATGGTGTGGGCCTGCAGGCAGGTCCTCGCTGTCACGGCCGGATTCGCAGCGCAACTCGGGTCAGAAGTGGGTGAGCGAGAATGACATAAACATATAGATGCTGAGGTCCGCGCGGATTTCTCGGATCGGCGCAGAGGGGCCCCAGCGCCAATCCGAGAAACCCGCGCGGACCTCCGAGTTGTTATTATGTTTATGACATTGTTTGTCTTATTGAGGGCGCACCCTGTCAAGGGTCTGGAAAGTAGCGGTATCGGTATCGTGTTGTGCCACCGGAGGCAGCTGAACGCCGACGTCCTGCATTTGCAGCAGCGGTCGCGCAGCCACATCTCGGGGAGACGTAGGTCTCGAGCCTGCCCGAACTAGGGTCGGCCGCCTCTTTCGGGGCTCACTTAATAGCTGGCGTCAGCGCGAATGCGGGTCAGCCAATCAATCCCTTCTGGTTCACCCGGGTTTGGGAGCCACGTGGGGCCGATCGCAGCTCTCGTGTGAATTGTTTGCAAAGGGATCTCGCGCCAGACTTCTGGCCAGACCCCGCCATTTTTTGTGAACGGCCCCGTCCGGCCATCCCGCCAACGAGAGAGCCACACGAGCAGGCTTTGCATGGGTTAGCAACCACCGTAGAAGTAGTTGTAGTGGTGGTGGTGGTGGTGGTGGTGGTGGTGGTAGTGGTGGTGGTGGTGGTGGTGGTGGTGGTGGTGGTGGTGGTGGTGGTCGTTGTGGCCGGCCTTGAGATAGTCGTTGTAGTACTGGTAGTTGGTGTCTGAACAAAGCAGTGTTTAACAGAGAACCATCACTCAATAATTAATGCGGGAATCAACCCGATAGAGCATTTTTTGGTTGTCGGAACGGCGAACATACATATGATATTCTGTAGATCGACGCAGCATTTTGCGTATGTTTTGTAGATGCGAGGAAAAACAAGCACTCCCTAGGTAAAGAGCATTCCCCCCCCGTGTGCCCATGTGCGCGAGTATCTTCCTTATCCACGCCGCAGTCCTAATGCTGCCCCCTTCGTCATCCCACTTGCCTCGCGATATTCCAATCTGCATGTGCTTGGGGGGGTCTTTCGCCAGGACACTGTGCAGTTGCTTCTTCCCCAGAGCCCGAGAACCCCGCATGCCCGATCCTTTGATCAGCGTCGGCTGCCGTCGGTTAGCGTCGATTCGCAAGGATATCAACGTAGAAATTCTGAGGTCCGCACGGGAGCGTGCCAGGGGCCAGGGAGCCCCAGCGCCGACCCGAGGAATCCGCGCGGACCTCCAAGTTTTATGGTTATTCCATTGTTTGCTCTCCCACGGGTTCGCTCCGGCGCGACCCCCGTTGCTCGACCGGCATTTGCACAGGCCTCGTGCCCGCTGGTGCACCGGCCTCGTGCCTGGGGGCGGTCAGTAAGGAGGCCCCCCAGGAGGCTGCAGACCCTGGAGGATTCGTTACCACGAGGAGGGCAGCGGTCTCCATGGCCGCTCCACGCTTGGAGTTCCTCCGCTGCCGGACCCCAGGGTTCCTTCTCTGAGGGCCCCTTTTGTCCGGTGCCCCTGGCGTGCCGAGAGCCCCGCAGACCTGAGCCTAAAACAAGGCTAGGATCGGGATAAATCGCTCCAGAGCGTTCCGGAGCGCTCTCAGAGCGTTCCGGTACACTCTGGAGCGGCCGCGGCGCCCAATACATCCTCCAAACTTGCCGATTCTCAGAGATTTCGAGTTATCCCGATCCGATTTTGTCCCGATCTTCGCGTCGTTTTACCCGCAGACCCGAGCCGCACGGGCCCTCCCCGAGCGTCGCGCGGCAGCTGGGCGTCCCCGCGGCCCTGGCGGCCCTGCCCGTCGGCGCCCGGGCGCAGGCGGCGCGCCTCGCCGCCGAGGTGCTGCAGGCCGCCGCCGAGGTCGCGGCTGCGGAGCTGGGCGGGCTGCCCGGGGCAGAGCGTCCAAAAGTCCAGGAAGGCGTCGACGACACGATGGCCTTGCACGCGATTCTTGTCGTCCAGTATACAGCAATGGATAAGTTTTGCTGTGATTTTACGTGCGGCTATATATATATATATATATATATAATACATATGTACACCTGGATGTGCATATACATGTGACAACATCAGAACCAGAGCCACGCGCACGCTTCGCGCGCTCAGGTTCTAGAAAATTGCGGTTGTAGTCTCAGGTGTATGGCGTCGGAGGACAGAAAGTGTAACACGGGGGAGCTCCACCGAGCGCCACAGATACAGTTTGGCTCAGCGTCCCCTGGCCCATGCCGGCACACCCTTCCAAGGGATCGCGCCACCCAGGGATCCCCTCCTACGTCCCCAGAGACAATATTCGCACCATGGTACGCCCCTCGCGTGGATCGCGCCCCGCAAGTGCGTGCATCTGCGGCACCAGAGGGAAGCTTCATAGCTTCGCCTGGCTTATTTCGGCACACCTCTTATACGGATCGTGGCCCGCAGGGATTTCTGCAGACGGCCCCAGAGGCAAGGTTTGCATGCAGCCCCCCAGCCTGCTTCGGCACACCCCTCTCACGGATCGTGGCCCACAGGGATGTCCACCTATGGCCCCAGAGGCAGGACTTGCATTGCGACCCCCCGCCCATTGCGGCACACCCTATGTCGCGGATCGTGCACACAAGAGAAAACACCTAAAGGCCCAGAGACGAGGTTTGTACGACGCCCCCTCGCCCATGTCGGCACACCGCGAATCTTGCCCCATGATGGGCTTCACATCGGGCACAAATCGGCGTCCCCCCGCCCATTCCGGAACATGCCTCGCACGGGTCGTGCCCGGAAGAGGTCCACTTGCGACCTCAGTGGGCGTGATCGCTTTGGGGCATGCGAATTATTCGGCACACCTTTCACGCGGATCGTGCCCCACAGGGAGTTTAACGCACCCGTGCACGCGTGCCCTGCAGCAACCCGCTTTCCGCATTGCCCCGCTGCGCGCAGTGTATGAAGAGAGACCCGCGCCCTGCGCTTCACATGACTGCAAAGGGATTGATCTGTGCCCATCGGCCTATACCGCTTCTGTGCCTGAGTTCTTGGCCGGAGGATTTTTGGATACCTGTAATTCGGGGCCCCTTGGGGGGCCGTTTGGGGGCCTCTTGGGACCTTCTGGGGGGCCCTCTTGGGGCCTGCTGGCGGCCTGGGGGCCCACAGGGAGCGGAAGGCTCGATATGTCAGTTGGATGTCCCCCTCTTGGATCCCTCTTGGAACCCACTTGGGCTGTCCTGGGGCCCTGTTGGGGGGTATCCTGGGCCGTCTTGGGGCGGCACTGAAAGCCTCTTGGGACCGTGTGGCCGCTGCTGAGACCCTAAGTGCGAGCATGCTGGGATTGCACGATCTTCCTAAGGGACGGAATGCTGTTGGCCTACAGGAGCCCTCTTGGGGCGCACCTTGGAGCCTTCTTAGGACGTCTTCGGAGCTACTTGAACCGTCTTTAAACAATGAACCGTCTTGAAACAATACACGCCGGTCGTTGAAAGTAGGTATTTTGGGGTTCCCAGATCCCAATCTACTTCAAGCGCCTTCCTACGTCAAAAATCGGCATGCTTTTGCTGTGTTTTGTTATTCTCTGGGAGGACCTGGACCCAATCCAATATGTCCGCCTTCCTACTTCATGTTTCTACCTACTTCTTCCGACCGACGTGTATTCGGGCGTCTTCGGCAGCTCTGGTCGCTCTCTGGTGGCCTCCGGAGCTGTTCTGAGCGGTCGGGCATGGGGAAGCCGAGACGGCCCGGACCTGGCCTCGATCCTTTTGGCAGATCCTACAAACAACAAAATTCAGGAGGGGAAAAAGCACACAGACACAATTAATCGTCGATCCCCAGGAAAATATGGGAAGTGGGGGGGAAGACAGAAACCTGGAAAATATAGGAAAATATAGGGAATCCTTTATTGGTGTGTATTTCTTTGTGTGTCCTGGGGCCCCTTCAAAAACATAGCTGGATCGTCGATGTACTGCCGTCCTGCGCACTTTCAGCAGCGTTGGTAAACCTTTGCATTTCAGGGTAAGTCAATTATGTAGCCGATCTCCTACTCGAACAACGAGTGGGTGCGAAAGGGCCAGGGGGAGGGGAGGAGGAGGAGGAGGAGGAGGAGGAGGAGGAGGAAGAAGACCAGTCTTGAATCGTTGAAAAAAGGAACCGCCCTCAATCCGTGAAGCTGTGTAACTTGTTAAAACGAATGTACGCGGTGCTAAGACGAGAACCTCATTTTGAAAACGACCCGCCCGCAATCCGCGAAGTCCTTGCAACTTGCTAACAAGATTGCGCGCGGCGTTGAAGCGAGAGCCGCATTTTCAGAACGACCCGCCCTCCATTTGTGAAACTGTTGCCATTTGTTCAATGTCAGCTTGTGGTTAACAAACGGCTACCCCCCAGGGCTGAGGAATAGACCCCGCGGGCCGCGAAATCTTTTTGTTGAAATCACGCGCCCCAGGCCCCAGGGTGTCGTCGCTGGCGCCGCCGAGGGGATCGTGTACCCCCCTGCATGGCAGCCTCAAAACGGTTGCCTTTCGCATAGAAGTTGTTATGGGTGTCGTACACATCCGAGGCGATTTCATCCCCCACTCAGGCGTCGTCGTCGTCGGCTTTTTCGTCTTCTTCGTCATCGTCATCGTCTTCTTCGTCTTCTTTGTTGTCGTCGTCGTTGTCGTCGTCTTCGTTCGTCGTCGTCATCGTGTCGAGTACAACAGGCATCCGCAGTGTGTCGTCGTCGTCGCCGCCGTCGCCGTCTGCCCTTCGCCGTCCGTCGTCCTCGTCCTCGTCCTCGTCCTCGTCCTCCTCGTCCTCGTCTTCGTCGTCGTCGTCGACGGCAGAGAACACGACAAAGAAATCGCATCAGTTCGACAGTCAAGAGCACGGAAAGTGCGGGGGCGAGCGCCGACAGCAATCCTTTTTAATTTCGAGCAGGTGTCGCCCTGGCTCACGGTCCCTGCTTCTGCCGCCTTGGCCTCCCGCCCCCTTCCCCTCCCCCATTCTATGTTGTCTGTTGCCTTCCCGCTGGCGGCTGGGCGTCGGCGCTAATCACCGGCGCCGCCGTGGATTTTCAACCTCGCGGGCGCCACCCCGCGATTCGCCCGAGCACGGGAGTTATGTTTTAAAACGCGCGCCCCCCACGGCTTTGTTAACCACAAGCTGGACTAAGCTTCAGGGTCATAAATGGTGGGGAAGTCTCGGCGAAACACCCGGCCCGCCCCCAAAATTGGCCTCGGGGTGCGACAGGGAAAAGTTACCCATCGGTCGTTGAAAGTAGGGAATTTGGGATTGCCAGATTCCAATCTGCTTTCAGCGCCTTCCTACTTCAAGAGTCGAGTGGTTGTCCCTCTTCCCTCCTCTTCAGGAGGAGGGCGGAAACCCAATCTATTTCCAACGCCTTCCTACCTCATGTTTCTACCTACTTCTTCCGACCGGTGGGTATGTGTAAGGAAAATGAATGGAGGGTCGCAGGAGGGCGAGTTGAGACAACAATACTTGGCCTCTGCGAGGGGCCCTCGCCGCCACGGTTGGAGGCATCTTGGAACGTGTGTGTGTCTGGACCCCACGAGGGGCACGGGGACCGATTCTGACCGATTCTGACTTGTTGTGGTTTCATGTCGTCTTGCTCCGAGAAGAGGAGGAGGAGGAGGAGGAGGAGGAAAAGGAAAAGGAAAAGGAGGAGGAGGAGGAGGAGGAGGTGGAGGAGGAGGATATACGAGAGGGACAGACGACGCCGACGGTCGACGCGCACACCGATGACGACTTCGTCGACCCCGGCGACCCAGACTTTGCTGACGGCGGCGACGACGACGCAGCTTCCGAACGCGATGACGACATTGGACGCCGCCAGACCGAAGGGTTGTGACAGGCACTGCGCTGAAACGAAAATCACTTTGGGCTCACTGGCTCAGGGGCAACGTCAGGGGGGGCAGGGGGATGACCATCGAGTTCTGAGGTGTTCGGAAGTTGTTGTCGGTTTTCGGCGCATCTTCAGCCTCGGGGTGCTCTCTGGCAGCTCCAGCTCACCGAAGGCATTCCCGGGGTGCCCGGAACCGCTCCAAACGGCCGCTGGAAAGCTCAAACATCAGGGGGCAACGCTAAGGGGGATCGGCTCAGGAGAGGGGGCGTCGACCCCCAATCGCCCATTCATCGCCGAGAAAAGGGTCCGATAGCCCGCCCCCCCACCAGAACCGTGCGGATTCGCTATCGGGGGCATGTCGCCGATCTATCGGCGATGTATTACCTACGTCATTGTGCTTCCCCTCCCGATCCATTCCCCCTTGAAGCCCCCCCCCAGTGAGGACCAGGGCCACGTGTGGATGTCATGGCCGGGGCCATCACGTCTCCCAGACGCATTGCCTCCTCTTCTTCTGTCCACGCCTTCCCCCACCCGTCCGCGCACATGCCTCGTGCCATGATTCACCGCCCCCCAAACCCACCCCAACCCGACCCGCAAGCCCCGATCTGCCCTCCATTTCCAGGGGGGGGTCGAGGAACATCGAAACAAAACGCATACGAAGCCCGTGCCCCTGCCCCCCCCTAACCCGAAATTCGGGTCTTCGGGTTGAGTTGGGGCGGTCTGGTAGGCAGTCCGTGATGCGCCCCCTCCCCCCGTGCCCTCTTCCTGGCCCCCCCCCTGCGCCGGCGCAGCCCGAGGCTGGCGGCGTCCGCGTCTGCGGCGGCCGTGGAGGGGGTCCTCGAGCGGCACCTCGGCTTCGTGGAGGTCTCGCGGCCAGAGAGCCCGCACGACACAAACGCTTCCGCCACGGGGACAGCAGGCATACATCACCACCTCTCCAACCCCATCCCTGTCCGAGGAAGGAGGAGGGGAGGAGGAGGGCAGAGGACGGAGGGGGGGGGGGCTGGAGGTGGTGGTGGTGTATACTCTTGGGACCCGCATCCGCCACCGCACACCCTGAGACCCAGGCGTTGCAGTGTTTTCACAGCGGGCGTGCTCGCCCGGCCTCTCGGGCCGAGCGAAGGGGGGGGGAATGGGCAAAGGGGAGGGGGTACGAGAGCTGTTGCATGCACCTAGTTTCGGCACCGCCGCCAGGCCCATCCCTCGACACATGGGCGCCTCCCAGCGCCAGGAGGCGCCAGGAGAACCATCTACGTGAGCTGCTTCTCCACCCTACCCGCTGCTATCCTACCCTTTCGTTCTTCCCGAGCCTTGGGTCCTGGGACCATCAAAGATCGATCCAGCCTGAGACATCACGCTGTTATTGAATTCGCATCGCTAGAAAATAATTGTTGTTGATCCCCCCGGTAACAGTTCTATTTTTCGAATAATGTGCTTATCGCGGGGCTCGCGCCTTGTTGTTTTCGAAGGGAAGCTGGGTATCACTAAGCGTTGTAGTTGGGCCCCTGTTTACAACAACAACGGCTGCCGCCAGATTTGTCCTCACAATGGTTTCCCAAATCGCACTCTCGCGCGGGGCTCCCTTGTAATGTATACATGAATCGCGCTCTCGCGTGGGACTTCCTCACAAGTTGTCCAGACGCTGCGCCCTCGACGCTTAGGAATCACGCTCTCGCTGTCGATTTCCTTACGATGTATTTGAGAATCGCGCTATTCATGCAGGACGCACGCTTCAGCAACCCGCCTGCCCCTTGTCCCTTCCTTCCGTCCGTCCTCTGTTCCCCTGCCTTAGGGGCTGCACGAAATGCACGTTGCAGGTTGGAAAGGTATGCCTCTAAGCGGGTACGAACGAAGACAACGAGGGCCAGCATCGAGGGCTCGGGATATACGTGTTGAATGGCACGCGAGCAGATAAGAGCGAATAGTCTTTAATAGACTGTTGTTGTTGTGGTTGATATGTATTGTGTAGTGTTGTTGTTTTTATTATTGTTGTCGTCGTCGTTGCTGTTGTCGTTGTCGTTGTCGTTGTTGTTGCATTCGGACGTCTAAAGAGTAATTTTGCTGATCCTCCCGATCCGGTAACCATCGTATTTGTTTGAAAAATGTGCTTCTCCCAGGACTCGCACCCGGTTTCCTTTCAGGGGAAGGGCTGGGTGTCACCAAACTCAGGAGGGGAAACAACACACAGACACAATTAATCGGCGACTCCCAGGAAAATATGGGAAAACATGCCAATTGGGAGGGAGGGCGAAACTCCAGAACATATTGAAGTATATGGGGGATGCTGGGATTTGTGTGTACTTATTTGTGTGTCCCTGGGCCCCTTCACTAACGTTGATCCTCCCCTCTTGAGACCATTGCGTTTATCAGTTGAAGTGCTTCCTCCGGGGCTCGCACCCGTTCTAGTAGGGAAAGTCACAAGGCTCGAACTGGGCTCCTGACCCCCGAGTTTTTCAAAATACAGCGGCTCCCGCCTGATACTTCCTCACAATGTATTCCCAAATCGCGCTCTCGCGCGGGACTTCCTCAGAATTCATGTACGCCTCGCATTCTCGCGTGGGACTTCCTTGCAATGTATTGTAGTGGCCTCCGGCCAGTGCCGCCGATCCGGGGCGCTCCTGATGCTATTGTTGTTGTTGAAATGGACGATGACGACGACAACGGACGACCAACGAGCGGGATAATTACGACGACGACCGACGAAGGAGTTAATGACGACGAACCGCGACGACGACGACGACGACGACGACGACGACGACGACTGACGGCGAACGGCTGCCGACGGCCGACGACCGACGACTGGTGACGGCGACGGGTGGAAGGTTCTTCGTTCATCGCTTTCGCTTCCGAGCAATACCAAGTCAGGCCGTGCACCTCTGGCCTGGCAGCACGCGAGTGAGCGCCTCTTGGGGCCTCTTGGTTCTTGGGGCTTCGTGGGGGCCTGGGGGGCCTCTCGGGGCTGTTTTGGGGGCCTCTTGGGGACCTCTTGGGGGCCTCTGGGTGCCCCTTGGGGGCGCCTCGGGGGCATCTTGGGGGCTCTTGGGGTCATCTTGGGGTGGAGGACTAGAAGGGTCCGCGCGGGTTCACCCTGTTGAGGCCATCTTGGGGGCCTCTCGGGGTCGTCTTGGGGGGCCTCCAGGGCTATATTGGGGGCCTCTTGGACCGTCTTGGCTCCTCTTGGGGGCCTCTTGGGCTGTCTTTGGGCGATCTTGGGTGCCTCTTGGACCGTCTTCGGCGCTTCTAAGACGGAAAAGGCGATAATGTTATTATCCCGGTGCGACCCTACCTGGGAGTTGGAGCCCTTAGGAAAGCAGCATTGGTAGTAACAGTAAAACTAAGCTAAAGCTAAGCTACAGCTAAGCTAAAGCTAAGGTACAGCTAAGCTAAAGCTAAGCTAAAGCTAAGCTAAAGCTAAGGTAACGCTAAGCTAAAGCTAAGCTAAAGCTAAGCTAAAGCCAAGGTACAGCTAAGCTAAAGCTAAGTTAAAGCTAAGCTAAAGCTAAACTAAAGCTAAAGTTAAGCTAAAGCTAAAGCTAAAGCTAAAGCTAAAGCTAAAGCTAAAGCAGAGCCTAGGTAAGGAAAATACGTCAAAACCTATTAGCAATTTTATTATTGTACCCTCTTGGGGCCCTCTTGGGGGTCCTCTCGGGATCTCCTTGAGTCGTCTTGGAGGCCTCTTGGGCCGTCTTCAGGCCATCTTGGGCGTCCAGGAGCGCTCTGGGGCCTTTTCGGGCGCCTCCTGGACCGTCTTGGTGGCCTCCTGGGCCCCTTTTGGCCCGTCTTGGGGCGGTTTGGGGTTCCCGGGGGTGAAGGGGGGGGAAGAAAGCGTGGACCCGATGAACCCCCCCCCCCTCCCCCCCTACCCCGGCAGAGCCACCCCGGCCCCCCCCCAGCAGAGCTGAAGCTCAGGTTGTAGCTTTCTTAAACTCACACGCCGGATCGGCGGATTCAAACGGTGCACCGTCGACGCGCAGGAATCACGCTCTCGCTTTGGCTTTTCTCTCGCGATTTCTTTGGAATCGGGCCATCTCTGGAGAGTTCCTCGCGATTCATGCCGGACCCACGCTTCGGCAACCTGCCTGCTCGACCTCGTCGCTTGGGCCCGCCTTTCCGACCTGCCCGCTATGAGTCTGCCCACCAGATCTGCCCGTCTGGTTCTACCACTTGTTTTCTGCTCCTTGCCCCCGTCGTGCTAATTCCTATCGTGCTCCATTCTCCTCCCTCCCCCTTCCACCCGTCCTCTCTTCCCTTGTTTTAGGGGCTGCAGTGATGCACGTGGCAGGTAAGGAAGATGTACCCCCAATGAGGTACGTTCGAAGACGACGAGGGCGGGTACCGAGGGTTCGGGATACACGTAGTGATTAGCACGCATGCAGGTAGGAGCGAACAGTCTTAAATGATTGGTGTTGTTGCTGTTGCTGTTGTTGATGTGATCGTTGGTGCTATTGTTGCTGTTGTTGTTGATGTCGTTGATGTTGTTGGTGCAGTTGATGTTGATGCTGGAGTTGCTCTGGTTGATGCTGTTGTGATTGCGGCTGTTGATGTTCGTGTTGTTGTTGTTCGTGTTGGTAGTGTTGTAGTACGTGCTGTTGGTGGTGGTATTATTGTTGTCGCTGGTGTCGTTGTTGTTGTTTATTATGTTGTTGTTTGTGTTGTTGTTGTTGTTGTCGTTGGTGGTGTTGTTGTTGTTGGTGTTGTTGTTGGTGTTGTTGTTGTTGCTGTTGTTGTTGTTGTTGTTGTTGGTGTTGGTGTTGTTGTTGTTGTTGTTGTTATGTTTATTGTTCTTGGTGTTGTTGTTATGACGGTTGTTGTTGTAGTCGTCGTTGTCGTTGTCGTTGTTGGTTGTTGTTGTTGCTATTGTTGTTGCTGCTGCTGTTGCTGCTGCTGTTGCTGCTGTTGTTTCTGCTATTGTTGCTGCTGCTGCTGCCGCAAGACAGCGTCGGGTCTCCGGGAGCGTCTGCCCTACGGGGTCGGACCCCGACGGCCGGGCCCCGACGCGCCGACGACGGGAGGGCCGACGTGCCGGCCGACCAGGAGCGGGCGTCCCGGATACGGCGGCGAGCGAGGAGGAGGAGGAGGAGGAGGAGGAGGAGGAGGAGGAGGAGGAGGAGGAGGAGGAGGAGGAGGAGGAGGAGGAGAGGAGGAGGAGGAGGAGGAGGAGGAGGAGGAGGAGGAGGGAGGAGGAGGAGGAGGAGGAGGAGGAGGAGGAGGAGGAGGAGGAGGAGGAGGGAGGAGGGAGGAGGAGGAGGAGGAGGGAGGAGGAGGAGGGGGGAGGAGGAGGACGGGGAGGAGGAGGAGGAGGAGGAGGAGGAGGAGGAGGAACCGACCCGTAAACAAACCATCCCCTTCTATGGCGTCCCCCTCGCCTCGCCCCAAGACGTAATCATGCATGCGGCCGGAGGGGAGCTCGCAGGGCGAGGACGGCGTCACGGAAGGGAGTGGTTTGCTAGGGGTCGGTTGGGCCGCGCCCGAATGAGGAGGAGAAGGCCTTCTCAGAATGCGGCGGGGCCTTTCAGGAGTCCTCGGGCTTTCTGAGAGGTCTTCTGTGTCCTCGGGGGGGGCTCACTCTCCGAAGGCCGGGGAAGTTCAGAGCCTTCTGAAAAGGCCCGCCCCTTCTCACTTCCCCCCCGGGCTCGCCGCCGACACATGCCAGAAACGTTTATGGTATCCTGTTTTCCGTCCGCTAAGAGGTGGCTGGCAGCGCATTGGCCGCTCCTATGGACCTTCGCCAAGAAGCACGTGGGTCTTGACGGAAACGGGTCTTGAGGCTTCTGGCAGTTCTCGGACTCTGTCCCCGCTCCCCGGGCCCCAGTACCGCCGGGTGCCGAGAAGCGACTTGAGATTAACAGCTGCTTCTGGGGGGGGCCCCAGGCTTCCTGCCAGGACTCGTTACCCTGAGGACCCGCTTCGAGGGGAACAAAGAAGAACATACGCAAAAAATTCGGAGGTCCGCACGGATTACTCGGATCGGCGCTGGGGCCCCCTGGCGGCGCCTCAGGCACCGCCTCTGGCGCTCCGCGCGCCAGGGAGGGGGGTCCAGCGCCGATCCAAGAAATTTGCGTTGACCTCCGAGTCATGTTTGCGTCATTGCTCGTGCCCCTAGCTGCAATTGTGCCGAGGACTTGCGGGCGCAACTCGTGCGGCTGGCGGCGATGCTGGACGCGGACGGACTGTCGGCGGCGCTGCAGAAGGAGGTCGGGCCTCTCTTGGCAGCGTCGCTGCCACCGGGAGGGGAGCCGGTCGCGGCCCTGGGCCGCCGGCTGGAGGCCATGCGGGGTGCCGCAGTGGCCGCCCGGTTGGCCTGAGGTGCGGCGGTCAGGGCCGGCGGGCGAGTATGGCTGGCACGCGGAGTTGAAGCCTCCCAAGCGCCAGGTGTTACTTGAGGCCTCCGAGCGCACGCTCAGCGTGGAGCACCCCAACACCCTGTGCTGGTGGTGAGCAGCCCTGCGTCGAGCCCTTCGAGCGCGCACTCTAGAAGAAGCTCCCAGAGCACCTTGCAGGCGCTCGGCAACCTGCGGGGAGCGATGCTCGGCCACGACCGATTCCAGGGCGCTTGAAGCGCTCTGCGCGGCAACGGAGGAGATGCATCGTTGTGGTACGCGGCTCGCGTGCGCCGTAGGCGCATATCTGGCGAGCGAAAACATCATTTATCTCGCTGCCCCGACGTTGGTGCTGCCCCTGTGCTCGTCTCCGTCCATCTCTGTTGAAAGATGTGCTATCCATGATGGATGTGCTCTAGTGTCAATGTTTACGGACTGCGACGACATGAGCAAGATGTATTCTTGACGCGCCTGGCTAGTGTTTGGACGGCTTTCGACCTGCTTCGCGAGCCCGCAGATCAAAAACCATCCCCACAAGCTTTCCCCTTCGCTTTGGCGCGGCCCGCCTTAGCTTGCACGGCGTTCCACTCGTCTTCGCGCGCCCGCGTAACAAAAAGTATCCCCACCAACCCATGCCGAAACAATCGCCAGGCGAGGTGCCCTGATCAGGAAAACATAGGAGCATGCAGTGGAGCAAAGGTGAGACAGCCATCAAGCCGAAGCTGGGGATCAGCCTGGAAATTACTGGAGTGGAATTGTTGGGCCTGCCGTTAAAAGAGGAGGAGGTGGCAGAGGAGGAAATGGAGAAGGAGGCAGGAAGCCATAGGGGCTCTCGTATGAGAGAAAAGCCATCGTGCAGATATCAGATACACAAGCCCATTGATATACTGTTATAGTTAGGACCTGTCCTGTCGTCCTTGGCCCATCGTGGAGGACGTCGGGTAAAAGGGGGCGGCGCACATGTGCCTCGCCGCTCTGGAGCACGCTGGAATCCTTTTGGTTCGCTCTTAGGCGCTCTTGGAGCCGTCTTGCAGCAACATCGACCAATCATTGAGTCTCCATCGAGCGATCTTGCCGCCATCTTGAGGCCGCAGATGCCCACCCGAAGCGAAAGTGCGGGTCGGCAATAATGGATGAACCGCGTCAGGTGTTTGAGTGACTTTGGCCTTGTCAGGGGTAGACTTTGGAGGAACCAGGGCAATGTTCAGTCGTATTGCAGCGGTCGTGTGACCCATCTTGGGACCCATCGAGGCTGCAGTGGGCTCTACGACGACCTCTGTTAGTCACGAAAAGGAAGGCTTCTTCGAACCCCCAGGAGTGGGGGACAGGGGGAACGGGAACAAACCAGAATCACATCTCACATGCCTTGTTTCCCTGCCAGCGGGGGTGTGCGAGTTCAAGGTTACAGCTCGTCCGTCCAGATATAAAACGCGTGCCCGATCTCCTGATGTATGTCGCAGGTAGCAGTGTAGAGGACAGGCTGGAGGGTCGCTTGGTCTCGGCGATCCTGGAACACGTCGGCATCCGAAGAGCACATAGCCGTCGGAGGAACAACGAAGGCGTGCAGAATGTACCAGGCTACCGGGTGGTTGTGCGTTGGCAATTGAAATGGTTATTACAATAACGCTTTCTGTTGAGGGTCGCTGGAGCAACCAGCGCACCCGAACTCCAGACCACGCCAGTACTAGGTTTGAGGTTGTCCCCATGACATGCGCACGCACGCACACACGTCTTGAGCGTGTTTCTTGATTGTTTGGGGCATGGCGGCGTCATGGCCCCCGCCGCCCCCCCCCCCTTTGACGTAACGCTCCCCCCCGCCAGTGCGCTCCGGGCACGGCCGCCGTGCGCATCGGGATCCGCATAGGCGTCCGCTTAGGAATCCGCGTAGGAGTGGCCCGCAGTCATCGTCGTCGTCGTCCTCATCGTCGTCGTCGTCGTCGTCGCCGCCGCCGCCGTCGTCGTCGTCGTCGTCGTCGTCGTCGTCGTCGTCGGCGTTGTCATCGTCGTCGTTGTCGTCGTCGTTCGTCGCTCGTCGCTCATCGTCGTCGTGCGCGCGGACGCGGCGGCTGAAGCCTGTTTTTTTTCTTCCGGGCCGATGACGGCAATCATTTTGTAGGGGGGTGAGGGGGCCGATGGCGTCACGTTTCGCGCTGGTGGCGTCTGGGGATGCCTGGGAATGACCGAGGACTGGTAGCAGCAGCGTCTAAATGGCGATCTGCAGAACAACGCCTGTGTACACCACAGTGTCTGCTTGCACCATAGAGCCTGTGTTCACCACACCGCCTATGTACACCACAGCACCCGCGTGCAACACAACGCCAGTGAGTGCCACAGTTCTTGCGGGCACCACAGAGCTTGTGTATACCACAGCGCCTGCGTACACCACATCAGCCGTGTGCAACACAGCACCAGTGTACACCACAATGCTTGCGTGCACTACAGCGCCTGCGTACACCACGGCGCCTGTGTGCACCACAGCAAACGTGTGCAACAGGGTACCATCTGAATTCCTCCCATGGGCGTCCAGGTGACTCCAGCGAAATTGGCCGTCCGAGAATCAAGTGGACTGATTAAATAGACCATTTGGCGGTGCACGCTGAGATGCGCACGCGCGCTGCAGTGCCGACCGACGCGCACGACAAGGGGGAAGGGTGAGGGAGGAGGAGGAGGAGGAGGAGGGGGAAAAGGAGGGAGGAGGGAGGAGGGAAGAACGTCGCATTTCCTTATCAGCACTTCCTTGGCGTGGCGTCTACCTGTCCGCAGCAAATCCTCGCATACATTACCTATACGACCACCCTGCGGGTGATAAGGAGGTTGGGGGGGGAGGGCCCCAGCAATGGGCAACAGTGGTGAATGTTGTTGTGACAATGCCAGTGGAGATAGTTGCGTTGCCGCTCGCTCTTGGGAGCGTTGGTCATCACCAGCACCATCATCATCGACATCACCATCAACATCATCATCATCAGCATCTTCATCATCGTATTCATCATGATCATCAGCATCACCATCATCATCATCATCATCATCAATGTCGTCATCATAATCACAAACATCAACACCATGAAGGCCATCATCACCATCAGCATCGCACAATCGATCTCACATTCGGTCTCACTACTGATAGCACAATCGATCTCGCAATCGACGTCATCATCATCATCATCATCATCATCATCATCATCATCGTCGCCATCATCAACATCATCATCATTATCACCATCATCATCATCACCATCATCATCATCATCATCATAATCATCATCATAATCATCATCAACATCATCATCGGGACATCGACGGGACACGGACGGGACACCGGCGGAACACCGGCGGGACACCCCGCCGCCCCGGCCGCCCGGAAGGGAATCATTTCGTCCGGCCGCGCTTCAGCCACACGGGACTCCAGCGGGACACCGGCGGGACACCGCGGGCCACCGGCCGCCCGGAAGGGAGACATTTGGTCCGGCCGCGCCTCAGCCACACGGGACACCAGCGGGACACCGGCGGGACACCGCGGGCCACCGGCCGCCCGGAAGGGAGACATTTGGTCCGGCCGCGCCTCAGCCACAGGAGACTTTCTCTCGCCCGCCCACGCAGCTTCGCCTCGCCCGCACGGCACGCACGAACACGAAACCGAAATCGATTTCCCGGTAGGGGGGCTCTCCGTTCCACTTCGATCTCACCCCCCAACCTCCGACATGCTCCTTCTACTTGTCCTGAACACAGGCGCTGCGTTGCGCACGACTGTTGCGGTGTACGCAGGCGTTGTCGTGTACAGGCGCGCTGTGGTGCACGTGAGCATGTTGGTGTAGACATGCGCTGTGGGGCAGATCGCCACCTACATGCTGCTCGCGTCGTCGTTGTCATCGTCGTCGCTCGTCGTTCGTCGGTCGTCGCTCATCGTCGTCGTGCGCGCCACACGGCGGTGAGGGGGGCGTTACGTCATACCCCCCCGCCTCCCCCCCCCCCACCATGACGCCCGTCATCGCCGAAAATAAAGGAACGCGCTCCTTTGCATATGATGTGAAGCACCTTGGAATGCCCATCTTCGCGCTAGGCCCCCGAATCTCAGCGCAATAATGTTCTCAATCGTAGCACGCCGATGCCCACATGACAGGTTGTGCAATCATCTTGTGGGGGTGTGTGAGGGGGCCGATGGCGTCACGTTTCGCGCTGGTGGCGTCTGGGGATGCTTGGGAATGACCGAGGATGGGTAGCAGCAGCGTCTAGATGGTGATCTGCAGCACAACGCCTGTGTACACCACAGTGCCTGTTTGCACCATAGAGCCTGTGTTCACCACACCGCCTATGTACACCACAGCACCCGCGTGCAACACAACGCCAGTGAGTGCCACAGTTCTTGCGGGCACCACAGAGCTTGTGTACACCACAGCGCCTGCGTACACCACATCAGCCGTGTACAACACAGCACCAGTGTACACCACAATGCCTGCGTGCACTACAGCGCCTGCGTACACCACGGCGCCTGTGCACCACAGCAAACGTGTGCAACAGGGCACCATCTGAATTCCTCCCATGGGCGTCCAGGTGACTCCAGCGAAATTGGCCGTCCGAGAATCAAGCGGACTGGTTACATAGACCATTCGGCGGTGCACGCTGGATGCGCACGCGCGCTGTACTGCCGACCGACGCGCACGACAAGGGGGAAGGGTGAGGGAGGAGGAGGAGGAGGAGGAGGAGGAGGAGGAAAAGGAGGGAGGAGGGAGGAGGGAAGAACGTCGCATTTCCTTATCAGCACTTCCTTGGCGTGGCGTCTACCTGTCCGCAGCAGATCCTCGCATACATGCTTCTTCTACCTGTCCTGAGGCACCGTGGTGTACACAGGCGCTGCGTTGCGCACGACTGTTGCGGTGTACGCAGGCGCTGTGGTGTACAGGCGCGCTGTGGTGCACGTGAGCATGTTGGTGTAGAAATGCGCTGTGGGGCAGATCGCCACCTACATGCTGCTCGCGTCGTCGTTGTCATCGTCGTCGCTCGTCGTTCGTCGGTCGTCGCTCATCGTCGTCGTGCGCGCCACACGGCGGTGAGGGGGGCGTTACGTCATACCCCCCCGCCTCCCCCCCCCCACCATGACGCCCGTCATCGCCGAAAATAAAGGAACGCGCTCCTTTGCATATGATGTGAAGCACCTTGGAATGCCCATCTTCGCGCTAGGCCCCCGAATCTCAGCGCAATAATGCTCTCAATCGTAGCACGCCGATGCCCACATGACAGGTTGTGCAATCATCTTGTGGGGGGGTGTGAGGGGGCCGATGGCGTCACGTTTCGCGCTGGTGGCGTCTGGGGATGCTTGGGAATGACCGAGGATGGGTAGCAGCAGCGTCTAGATGGTGATCTGCAGCACAACGCCTGTGTACACCACAGTGCCTGTTTGCACCATAGAGCCTGTGTTCACCACACCGCCTATGTACACCACAGCACCCGCGTGCAACACAACGCCAGTGAGTGCCACAGTTCTTGCGGGCACCACAGAGCTTGTGTACACCACAGCGCCTGCGTACACCACATCAGCCGTGTACAACACAGCACCAGTGTACACCACAATGCCTGCGTGCACTACAGCGCCTGCGTACACCACGGCGCCTGTGCACCACAGCAAACGTGTGCAACAGGGCACCATCTGAATTCCTCCCATGGGCGTCCAGGTGACTCCAGCGAAATTGGCCGTCCGAGAATCAAGCGGACTGGTTACATAGACCATTCGGCGGTGCACGCTGAGATGCGCACGCGCGCTGTACTGCCGACCGACGCGCGCGACAAGGGGGAAGGGTGAGGGAGGATGAGGAGGAGGAGGAGGAGGAAAAGGAGGGAGGAGGGAGGAGGGAAGAACGTCGCATTTCCTTATCAGCACTTCCTTGGCGTGGCGTCTACCTGTCCGCAGCAGATCCTCGCATACATGCTTCTTCTACTTGTCCTGAGGCACCGTGGTGTACACAGGCGCTGCGTTGCGCACGACTGTTGCGGTGTACGCAGGCGCTGTGGTGTACAGGCGCGCTGTGGTGCACGTGAGCATGTTGGTGTAGAAATGCGCTGTGGGGCAGATCGCCACCTACATGCTGCTCGCGTCGTCGTTGTCATCGTCGTCGCTCGTCGTTCGTCGGTCGTCGCTCATCGTCGTCGTGCGCGCCACACGGCGGTGAGGGGGGCGTTACGTCATACCCCCCCGCCTCCCCCCCCACCATGACGCCTGTCATCGCCGAAAATAAAGGAACGCGCTCCTTTGCATATGATGTGAAACACCTTGGAATGCCCATCTTCGCGCTAGGCCCCCGAATCTCAGCGCAATAATGTTCTCAATCGTAGCACGCCGATGCCCACATGACAGGTTGTGCAATCATCTTGTGGGGGGGTGTGAGGGGGCCGATGGCGTCACGTTTCGCGCTGGTGGCGTCTGGGGATGCTTGGGAATGACCGAGGATGGGTAGCAGCAGCGTCTAGATGGCGATCTGCAGCACAACGCCTGTGTACACCACAGTGCCTGTTTGCACCATAGAGCCTGTGTTCACCACACCGCCTATGTACACCACAGCACCCGCGTGCAACACAACGCCAGTGAGTGCCACAGTTCTTGCGGGGACCACAGAGCTTGTGTACACCACAGCGCCTGCGTACACCACATCAGCCGTGTACAACACAGCACCAGTGTACACCACAATGCCTGCGTGCACTACAGCGCCTGCGTACACCACGGCGCCTGTGCACCACAGCAAACGTGTGCAACAGGGCACCATCTGAATTCCTCCCATGGGCGTCCAGGTGACTCCAGCGAAATTGGCCGTCCGAGAATCAAGCGGACTGGTTACATAGACCATTCGGCGGTGCACGCTGAGATGCGCACGCGCGCTGTACTGCCGACCGACGCGCACGACAAGGGGGAAGGGTGAGGGAGGAGGAGGAGGAGGAGGAGGAGGAGGAGGAAAAGGAGGGAGGAGGGAGGAGGGAAGAACGTCGCATTTCCTTATCAGCACTTCCTTGGCGTGGCGTCTACCTGTCCGCAGCAGATCCTCGCATACATGCTTCTTCTACCTGTCCTGAGGCACCGTGGTGTACACAGGCGCTGCGTTGCGCACGACTGTTGCGGTGTACGCAGGCGCTGTGGTGTACAGGCGCGCTGTGGTGCACGTGAGCATGTTGGTGTAGAAATGCGCTGTGGGGCAGATCGCCACCTACATGCTGCTCGCGTCGTCGTTGTCATCGTCGTCGCTCGTCGTTCGTCGGTCGTCGCTCATCGTCGTCGTGCGCGCCACACGGCGGTGAGGGGGGCGTTACGTCATACCCCCCCGCCTCCCCCCCCCCCCACCATGACGCCCGTCATCGCCGAAAATAAAGGAACGCGCTCCTTTGCATATGATGTGAAGCATCTTGGAATGCCCATCTTCGCGCTAGGCCCCCGAATCTCAGCGCAATAATGTTCTCAATCGTAGCACGCCGATGCCCACATGACAGGTTGTGCAGCCGTCTTGTTTGACAGTTTTCCGTGCAATCAACCTGCGCAGCAGTTGGCTGCCATTCGGCGCTTGCTGTGCTACTTTGCTATTCCGAACGCGGTTGCGATTATCCACCGAGCGCCGAGCTTTGCGGCAGTCGCCGACGATGCTCCACGGCAGTTTGGATCAGGGCGCTGCTCGTGGCGGTCCGGAGGCGCGAGGCCGACCCTCCTGCCCCTGCCCTTGCGCGCGGGGGTACGCGGATGGAGCCGCGGGGCAGCATTGCCGACAGTCTCGCTGACACGGGCGGCTGCGACGCAGACCTCGAGGAGTCACTCCGGGAGTCAGAGAAGCGGGTCGCCACCATCGAGACCGACTCGCAGGAGGCCCTGGCGGCGGCGCGGATGTTGCTGGAGGCCGCGGGCGGGACGGTGGGGCAGCTGGAGCCTCACCTGATGGACGAGATGTCTGCGCTGGTGCAGGTGCAGCTGGACGAGCTGGCGCAGGCCCAGGGGAGCATCCAGCAGAAGTTCGGCGAGGCCAGCAGGGCTGCCGGCGCGAAGGGGTGCGCGCTGGCCCTCGCCCGTCTGGTGACCAAGCTGCGCCAGCTGGAGTCCAGCCTCGCCTCGGAGCTGAGCAGGATGACGGGCAGGCCCGCGCCCAAGCGGCCGACGCAGTCGTCGTGGATGCCCGGCGCGGGCCAAGCGGCAGGCCCGCCGAAGGGCACGGTGCCCGCCGTGCTGCCTGCGAGGCCGAAGCAGCAGTGGCAGTGGCAGGCGGCCGCGGGCCCGGCCAAGGGCCAGAAGGGCCAGCGGCAGTGGCCGGCGCCTCCTGCCAGGTTCGAGGGCCCGATCCCTCGGCTGGAGGACCCGGTGCTCAGAGGAGGAGAAGCGCTGCCCGAGCATGGGCCGGCGGAGGTGCGCGCGGATGTCCTGGAGCTGCGCTGGAGCCCTCTCCGTGGTGCGCGTTTCGCGCACCAGGGGCGACACCAGAGGCGCTGCCAGGGGGTCCAGCGCCGGTCCAAGGAATCCGCGCGGACCTCCGACGGGTTGTGGTTGTTTCGTAGTTTGTCCCTCTATAGGTGCCGCTCGTTGCGGTCTTCGACCTCGACGAGACGTGCTGGAGCCATTTCGGCTTGGACCACAAGGCGGACAAGTTCCAGCCGCCGTTCAGGTGGTGCGAGCAGGGGCGTTGCGTGGTGGACTCCGCGGGCAAGCCCGTCATGATCTTCCCGGAGCGCAGGGGAGGAAAAGGTACCGATGCCGCTGCTCGTCCTGGAAATCCCTGGTCTCGACGGCTGGACGTCAGGTCAGAACGCAGCCTGGGAGAGGTCTCAGGAGTAGCGGTATGGTTTTTGTTGTTTGTCTGCGGCGGCCAAACAGAGGTAATGAGTAGGGGTGGGCGGTGATGTCATGGCATGATCTCCCACCTGGTTTCATGGCCCCCCTCTTCTTCCCTCGATTCACCCCCAATGGACCCCACCCCCCTCGTTCCGTTCGCGCACGTGCCTCGCGGAATTGATGTGCGAGCCCCCCGTTTTGGACGCCCCCTCTCTTGGGCGGACGACCCCGGCGTCTGTCCCCCCAGGAGCTCCCCGCGGTGCTCCTGGCCCTGAGCCAGGCGGGGGTGCAGCTCGCCGTCGCGAGCCACGACACCCAGGCCTCGCCCGTGTTGCCGCTTCTCGGCACGCCCCCCCCCCCCCGCTCCACCAGCCCAGGACACGTACGTACGGTCGGACCGAGGAGAAAGCTCGAGGTCGATTCGGGGAGGGCACCCTCGTGTGTTTTTGTTGTTTGTGTTGTTTGGGCGTGCTTGCGCATCCTGGGGAGGGTACCCTTGGATGCCCGGTGGGTTTCGGCCGGAGCAGGGCCTCGTGTTGCTGAGGAAGGTCTCCTGGCCTGGCCTGGGCGGCGGAAGAGAACGGGGTCGAATGCGCGGACATTCTCGCTGAAGCGTGCCGCGCAAGGTCCCCGCACGAGCGCCGTCTTCTCCACAGCGTGCTTCGCGGGTGGCCCGGGTCAGCCGCGAAGAGAGGTGGCCATGTTCTGTCGCGTAAGACCCTCTTCGTTTCGTCGCTCACACCCCCTGCCCCTACGATTATGTCGGGCCTGTCCCCCTACTGGGGGATTTTCGACGAAACATCAGAAATACACCAAAAACGCCCCGAAAGGGTCAAACGATTCTCAGAGAAATAGTCCCCATACTATTTCTGTTTTTTTGGATTATGTTGGGTGAACTTCAATATTTTCGTCGAAAATCCTCCTGTGGGGGACATGCCCGACTTAACCCTACCCCCTACGATCGACATGCCCCCATCTCGGTGCCGATCCTAAGGATTCCCTCAGTTTCTGAGGGCACATCCCTGAGATTGTCATCACCTGGGCTGCACTCGAAGCTGGCTGAAGCTTCTGATATGTCAGATGTGTAGCGATCCCTGGAGCTCCAAGCCTGGCACACCTGGCGTTTCACGTGGCGCACCTTGGAGTGTGCTTTCGAAGAGCGCCCCAGCATGCCCCAGGCGAGACCCGGGGGCGAGCCACGGGGACTTATTTCAGAAAAGCTAGTTTGTGCGAACCACCTCGAAACAAGAGGTTGGTGTGGTGAAGGGGCCAACCCTAGGAAGTTGCGCGTAGCGCAGGGGCGCGCCTCTGCTCATATAGAGTGTGTGCGGCGCAGCGGTGCGGATGTGGGTGTGCGTAGTGAGCGCGCAGAGGCGTGCTGAATTCTTTTGAGAGGCACGAGCCGCGTGATGGGGATCTCATGATGAGTGGGATAACTACGGCATGCGGGCTTTGCCACTGGGGCCGTAGGTGGAGCTCCTTGTGGGGCACGATCCCCGTGAGGGGTGTGACCCGGGGTGTGCCGAAATGAGCGGAGGGCGGCAAGCGAACTGTATCGCTGGGGCCGTAGGTGGAGCTCCCTGTAGGGCATGATCCCCGTGAGGGGTGCGCCGACCTGAGCGGAGGCCGGCAAGCGGACTTTGTCCCTGGGGCCGTAGGTCGAGCTCCTTGTAGGGCACGATCCGCGTGAGGGGTGTGCCGAAAGGAGCGGAGGGCAGCAAGCGAACTGTATCGCTGGGGCCGTAGGTGGAGCCCCCTGTGGGGCACGATCCGCGCGAAAAGGATATGCGGATTGTGTCGCCGGAGTTCCCTGTTGAGCACGACACGTGTGTGGGGTTTGCCGACATGGGCGGGATGGCGGCATGCGGACTCCCTCTGCGCCAGCAGGTAGAGCTCTCTGTCGGGCTGGAAACGTGTACGAGGTGTGCCGACATGGGCGGGTACCGCATGTGGACCGTGTCGCTGGGGCTGTGCGCCTAGTCTCGGGGGAGAACAAACCTACCTCGCTTTTGACCACCCTCGCTTCCAAGAGATACCAAACGATGCCAAATTGCGGCCTGTACTGGTCAGGCCGCTTGACGAGGAGGCGCGTGGTATGGCTTGGTTTTGCCTGGAAGCGAAAGCGGGGGAGGTAATTCACGCTCTAATAGTCCCTTGAAGAGCACGAAGCGTGTGTGGTGCGTTCCCAGATTGGTGGAACGGCGGCATGCGGACTGCATCGACGGGGCCGCAGGCGGAATTTTCTAGGAGTGTGAAACGTGTGGGGGCTGTGCCAGCACCAGTGGAGTGGCGGCACGCGAATCGTGTCGCTGAGGCCGTGGGTGGGGATCCCTGAGGGGCACGACACTTGTGAGGGGTATCCGACATTGGCGGGATGGAGGCATACGGACTGCGCCTCTGTAGCCGTGAGTGGTGTTTCTGGGGGGGCGCAGGAGCCGTGTGAGGGGTTTGCGGGCTGGCGCTGGGACCGTCGGTGGAGCTCCTTGAGGGGCACGGAGCCTTTGACGGGTGTGCAAACATGGGCGGAGTGGCGGCATACGGATTCTGCCTCCGGGGCCGTGGGTGGTGCTCTCTCGGGGAGAAACCGTGTGGGGAGTCCGCGGGATGTGTCGCTGGGGCCGTGGTTGGAGGGAGCCCCTTCACGAGGCGCGACACATGCGAGAGTTGTGCCGAATGGGCGGAGTCAGGCGGACTGTGCCTCCGGGTCGTTGGTGAGGCTTCCTGAGGAGCACAAAACGCGTGAGAGGCGTGCCGACGTTAGCGAGGTGGCGGCGTCCAGGCTGCGTCGATGGCCCGCAGGTGGAGCTCCCAGACGGGCACCAACCAGAACTGTGTGAGGGGTGTGCCAAAGTCGGCGAGGGCAGGAAGAGGAGGAGTTGGAGGAGGGAGACTGTGGGGAAGCGGAAAATGAGACGAGCGGTTCTGCGCAACGAGGACCCAACACCACACGAGGGTGGGGAATCCCCGTGCCCTTCTGGCGCTAGAATCTTTGGTATGAGGTAATCAATGATTCAAGTTTTCCAGTTCGCGCGCCCGTGGCGGCCCCCAGGGCCCCCCAGGAAGAGAGTACCCTCTTCAGATCCGTCGCGGGATGCCTGACCTTCCGTGTCAGTGAGCACAGGTTTGCAGCGTTTGGAGAGGACGATTGGCGATTGTTTTGCTGGCCTAATGAGGACATCTATGCAGGACAGTTGCTGGCTCTCTCAAGGTTGTCATCCCGATTCATTGTTTGACAGCCTTGGTGCCTGGAAACATTCAGTCACACAAGCATGCCGCGTTTATGGTCATTTTAATCCAGCCGCTTGCGGTAGACCCTACCACCGAGCCAGCGCAGCATCGACATGTACGTAAGGTGCATCTACCGAGCTATCCCGAGAAGGCTCGGTGAAGCCATCTTGGGGCCGTCTGGGTCGGGGGCCTCTTTGGCCCTTCGCGGCGGCCTGTTGGCAGTTTCTGGAGGTTCAATTCGGCGCCTGCTGGGGTTCTTGAGGCCGTCCAGGGCGTGATGATTCTAGTGAGCTCGCCCGAAGAATTTCTGTAGAAACATCTGTTTGGGAGCCTTCTTGGGGTGTCTTGCGGCATCTTGGGCCGTGATTGGGGTGCAGTTGGCCGTCTTGGTCCTGGGCTTGCTTGGGGTCGTCCTGGCTGTGTTCCAGAAAGTGCGTTATTTTGTTCCTAGAGCTCGCTGACGCGTCTTGAGGTCATTTGAGGACGAAGAGCTAAGGAGGCAGATGCATTGCAACCTAAGCTTCTCGTGCGGTTGTTATTCCATGGTGTTGCTCGAAGGTTACTTGGGCGCATCTCGGGGGTTTAGTGGGCCCGTCAGGGCCTCCTGGGGTCATGATGGCGACTCTGGGGAGCCTTGGGACATCTTGGGCTTGTCGTGGGACATCTTGTAGCTGTCTTGAGGCGGTCTTGGACGGTCATGGGGGTGTGCAAACACGGGGGGCAAGATGCAGAGGGCTTTTCTCGCATGGGCATTGTAGTACGAGGTGCTCCCTGAGACGGGGACAGCAGTTCTCTCTACCCGACAGCTAGCAAGCAGTCTAACACGCACCAGCCTTCTGCCGGCACGTCCAAGAATTCCCAGGGTTTCTCTACTTCAACATGAAATTCAGCTTTGCGTCGTGGGGCCGTCGAGCCCCATGGCGGCCGGTTCGTAGCCCCAGGTGGCGTGCCCTCTCAGTATGTTGGGGCGTCAACCACTGGTGCAGTCGTTCGGCGGCGATCGAGGGAGGAAGTGAGAAGGAGAAGGCCTTCTCAGAATGCGGCGGCACGTCTCAGAAGACCTCGGGCCTTTGAGAAGTTTTCTACGTATTCGGGGTAGGAGAAGAAAACGCCTCAGACGGTCGGGGGACTTCCGAGCCTTCCGAGAAGGCCTCCTTCTTCTCATTTCCCCCCCCCCCTCGCCGCCGAATCGTACCAAGACGTAGTGGTGGCTGGGATTTGAGCTGTCGAGGCCGCTTGGTGCGGAGAGGTGATGGACAGCTTCATGCTGAACGACCACTTGCGCTGGGGCGACCTGGTACCCGAGCACTTGCGGATTATCAGCTGCTCGGGGAAGCATTGGCCGGGCAAGGCAAACCACTTGAGCGAGATCCGGGAGCGGTGCGGTTGCGAGTATTCGGACATGTTGTTTTTCGACGACGGCAGGGGCAATTGCCAGACGGCCATGAAGCTCGGGGCCGCCGCCGTGCGTTGCCAGGGCGGCATCACGATAGGCAAGCTGTGGGAAGGCTTGCAGTCTTGGGCCGCGGCGAAAGATTGGCAAGAGAAAGGTCAGCGAGGCCAGAAGCGCGCATGGCACGAGGCATGGTGATAGCCGGGGTAAGGCATCTGGCTTCACTTGTTCTGTCGGAGCCGCTTGATGCCCCGATTGCGGAGGCTCGTGATGTGCTCTGGAATCGAGCGCGCCTTGCATGCAGAAAACGGAGCGTTTACGCCGTCGCACCTACTTCCGCAACGTTGCGTGCACACATACGCGCGTGTCTTCATAGAACTCTATCACGTGCGCGGACAGGATCAAACTCCTGCACATGCCCGGGCCCATACACGCACAGCCCACTTCCTGTCTATTTGCCACATGGCTAAAGCCAAATATAGATTCCAGCACTTGCAGTTGCACGCAGCCATATTCGCATCGTGCCCTTCTTTCGCGGCGTGGCACCGCCTCCCCCTGTGGCAATGAAGAATGCCACTGGGGCGGCCCCAGCATGTACCAACCGCGGGGATGCTTTGGCTAGGCCTCGGTATCATCGATCTGCAGTTTCGCAACGATGCGGTTTCTATTCCGCCGCTCTGTGGTTGATCCAGAGTTTCTGCATGCAGAGATGAAGAACGCGTTTTTCCGGAAACGGTGCAAGAAACAACACTGACCCCTCCCCTGGGACCGATTCGGCGAAGATGTTTCGAGCCAGGGCGCCCGTGTGGGATTCTGCACCAGATTCCGTCAGATTCGCTGGGTTAGCCGCAAAACCGTACAGGAAGCGCAGATGTTGGTCACAATTATTTCCGCGGCGGGGGAAGGATGACCTGGGTCCCACAGGAATTCCTTCAAACCATAATCAGAAGGGAGCGGTGGTTGCTAGAGGTTGCAGGGATTTTCACGACGTCTCAGAGTGCTCATGGTGCCTCCAGATGCTTCCCGTGCGCGCTCATGGGCCTTCATTTGCCCCGAGAGAGCCTGCTCAGGTCCAAATGGGGGCATTTACAGCACATCGCGTACGCCCCAAGATTTCGTGGTGGCACGGTGGAGCCGAGGAACAATACGTAGCACCCCGCAGATGCGGATAAGAGTGCGGGGGCGGTGGGGACGTCCGCAGTCTGCGAGACTCTGGAGATGCCCGCTGCAGGCGCCAAAGTTTCTTTAATTTTACAACGAGACCGCCGCAGGCGCCGATCTTTTCTTCGAACCAATGTGGATCGGTCGCGGGTGGGTCGCGGGTGGGTCGCGGCTGGGTCGCGGGGTGGGTCGCGGGTGGGTCGCAAATGGATCGCGGGTGGGTCGCGGGTGGGTCGCGGATGGGTCGCGGATGGGTCGCGGGTGGTTCGCGGGGTGGGTCGCGGGTGGGTCGCGGGTGGGTCGCGGGTTGGTCGCGGGGTGGGTCGCGGGTGGGTCGCGGGTTGGATTGCGGGATGGGTCGTGGGGTGGGTCGCGTGGTGGGTCGCGGGTTGGGTTGCGGGGTGGGTCGCGGGGTGGGTCGCGGGGGGGACGACGACAACAAACAATAATAACAACAACAACAGCAACAACAACAACAAGCATTCTAACACTGTTCGCCCTTATCCGCTCGAGTGTCCAATAACGCGTATTTCCTAAACCCTCGATACCCGCCTTCTTCGTCTTCGATCGAACCCCTTTGGGAGGGTATACTTTTCTTCCCTGCAGGCTGGGCCGGGCCCCGGCAAGCGGCGGGGCAGCCGCGGACCGTCGGCCTCGCAAGCGGCAGCGCTCATCGGCGGGGCCGCCGCGGCCGTCGACCCGACCCCAAGAAGGACGGACAGGGGACCGACCACGACGACGACTTCGACGTCGACGACGACTTCGACGTCGACGGCGGCGGCGACGACGACGACGAGCGAAAGCGAGAGCGAGAGAGAACGACAGCAGGGCCACGAAGGACACGAAGTAGGCCAGCGGGGACACGAAGGGAATGCGTATGGGGCCACGAAGAGCGCGAACGAGCGGCGGCCACGAAGGGCAGATAATGCGGGGCCACAGAAGGCAACGATGGGGCCACTGAGGGTAGCAAGTGGGCCACGTAGGATAGTGAGGGGGCCACAACGGGCGCGAACGAGCGGGGGCCACGAAGGGCATGCGTATGTTGGGCCGCGGAGGGCAGGGACCGGGCCACTGAGGACAGCAACGGGGCCACGAAGGGCAGCGAGGGGGCCACGAAGGGCGACAGCGGGGCCACAAGGGCATGCATATGGGGCCACCACCGGCGCGAACGACATACATATGGTGCCACGAAGGGCAGCGAAGTGGCCACGAAGGGTTGCAACGGGGCCACGAAGGGCTGCAGCTGGGCCGCGAAGGGCTGCAGCGGGGCCACGAAGGGCGGCAACGGGGCCGCGAAGGGCTGCAGCGGGGCCACGAAACAAAGCGAGGGGGCCACGAAGGGCTGCAACGGGGCCACGAAAGGCAGCGAGGAGGCCACGAAGGGTTGCAACGGGCCACGAAACAATGCGACGGGGCCACGAAGGGCTGCAACGGGGCCACGAAACAAAGCGAGGGGCAACAACAACAACAATATTAATGCAACAAGCATAACCCTCACCACGAATTCGCTTCAGCCACGCACCCAGGAACAATGAATGACCGTTCGGCCCCTCATTTTGATTCAGATGTATTTCAACGGCTAATGCATTCTCCATTGCAGTAGTACATCGCAAGAACGCAGCTATACCTGATGTGCAGCGGAAACATACGCAGTTCATAGTTCATTCATTGCCGACCGCGATCCGAGGCTGGCTGATTACATCTAAGCGTCCCCGGCCGGCAAATCTGTTCGTGTCGTGTCGCGCGTGCGGGCGAGGCGGATCTCCGCGAGGTCGATGCGCTGGTCAATGCTAGGGCTAAGTTTGGCAACGTGTCCATGCTTATGTCTCGCGAGGGGCCGCGGGCTTGTCCCATGTCTCAGGGGGTGTCCCGAATTTTCCTGTGGTTTGTCCCGTGGCTGTCCGGTGGCTGTCCCGTGGGTTATTTTGCGCATTGTCCCGTGGCTACCCCGTGGGGTGTTTTTGTGTTGTTTTGTGGGTTGTTTGGTGGTTCTCCCATGGGTTGTCCGGTTGTCCGTGGCCCCGTGGTTGTCTAAGGAAGTATCTTTAGAACGTCCCGGGGTTATCTCGTGGTCGTCCCTTGGGTTGTTTTTTGGGTTGTCCCGTGGTTGTCTTGCGGTTGGCCCTTGTATTGTCCCGTGGTTGTCGCGTGGGTTGTCCTTTCATTATTCCGCGGGGTGTTCCGCGAGTGTTCCGTGGTTGTGCCGTAGGAGGATCGGCATGCAAATCAAGTTGCAAATAAGATGCACATCGAGACGCAAATCGCCATGCACACCGAAATGCGAATCGAAACGCACACACACAGATACCCAATCGATGTTAGCCAGTGTGGACCCCAAACATTGTGTTTCTAGCAATATATATATATATATATATATATAGAAGGACCTTCGACCCATCCCGCCGCCGTGCATGGCTTCTTGGGGTCTCTTCGGAGCGCTCGCGGGGGCCTCTTTGTGGCAGTTCTGGGGCCTCTTCGGGGGCCTCTTGGGGGCTTCATGGGTGCCTCTTGGGAGCCTCCTGGGGCTTAGGGCTTACTGGGAGAATCTTGGGGCCTCCTGTCCTGGGGGCCTCCCTGGGCACGAGGGCTTGAAGTGTCCATTCGGGTTCCCCGTCGGGGCCCCCTCTTGGAGCCGCCTTGTGGGCCTCTTGGGATGCCGAGGACCGCCCAAGAGATCCCCAGAGAGCCCAAGAAGGATTTGGACGGCCCACAGACGACCCCAGGACGGCTCCGATATAGCCCGAGGGAGCACCCGGGAGGGCGCCCAAAGGACAAGAAGCACAATAACGCAGACGCGTGTTTGGTTTAGGATGCATGTTCTCATTTCTGTTTTTCCAGATTCAGATGGGGAAGTGGGCGCGCTACGGCTCGAGACGGCCCCGATAAGGCCCCGCCCACGACCCACGGCAGCCGCAAGACATCCAGAGACGGCTGGGTTGGTGCGGTGGGTCTGGGAATCAGAAGACAGCTCGCCGCTTGGGCCCCACCGCCAACCCAACCAGCGAGCATACACTGCGCGCAGTTTCGTAGCAGCTGTCGCAGGTGTGCGCCACCCATGCGGCGCGCGATGGTACTCGATACATGTGTTGCGTTATAGGCATCGCCATCCATGGGTTGGAACATGCATCGAGCGATCCATGCATGCGCTGCAGCATAGGTTGCGCCACCCGTGAGGTGTTGTGCCATCCACGGGTGTCGCCATGGGTTGCGCCATCCATACGTTGCGCCATAGATTACGTCATCAATGGGTTGAGCTATCACCGCTGGAACGGTCACAGTGGACCTCTGTGTGTGCATCAATCACTGCTGGAATGGTGATATGCGACCGGCTTGCTCTGATCGAATCCCGCCTCCCCCTCCTCTCGCCATGAATGAAAAGGGGTCCTGAGGGAAACGGGTCCCAAACCCAGAGGCTTCCCCCCTGCCACAGCTCTTCCTACCGGGTCGCTCTTTGACGATCTTGGTGCCCGCCGTGGAAAGCTCCGGGGGGCCTCGGGACTCCTTCGCATCAGGACTTGTTTCTTTCATGTTAGTTATCCTCTCTTGGCATCTCTCGGACTTGTGCATTGTTTCTTGGCGTGGACCATCGAGGAGCATTCTGGATCAATACAAGCACGAAACCGAAACATGCACAGGGATTGAACGTCCGAGCGATGGCAAGCTCTCCTTCCGCTCCCTTCCGCTGCATCTTTGAAGGACCCTGTCTGTCCCAAAGGCTGTTTTTTCTGGTGCCCGTCGCGGGCTCGATGCGGACTCGACGCTGATGTGGCGTGGAGCCGACGTGGATTCGACGCGGCGTCGCCGAGTCCGACATGGATTCGACACGGATGCGACGCGGACAGGGGTGCGACGGGACAGTCGGGGCCCCCCGAAGATGCAACATACGGCAGGTTCGCTTCGTGCCGACCGGTGGTGATTCCGCCGCAGACGTTCAAGGTTGTACGCTGCCAGTGGCCCAGAATCGGCCTACATGGACTGATCGGGCAATGGAAAAGCTGCCGATCGTTCGAGGTTGAGAGGTGCACGCGGAGTCAGAAACCAACGCCTGGGCCGCCTGGGTCGTCACGACACGAACATGCCGTAACCTGTTTTGGCCGCCAGGTTAGCCAGTGGGATCCCGCTACAGCCGTCGGCGCTAGCGTCAGCGTCGGTGCGGCTGGCGCCGCCGGTGCCAGGTGCCGCGCGCAGGCGCGCCAAGGGGGCGGGCCTCGCAGCGGGCCGCGGCAAAGACAAGGAGGGTGACTCTGACGACGAGGGCGACGACGAGCACGGAGGAGAGGGCGGCGACGATGAGGACGACGACGAGGAGGACATCGACGACGAGGACGACGATGACGACGACCAGGATGAGGATGAGGACGACGAGGACGAGGACGACGAGGCGCGAGGGGGGGCCTCCTGAGAAGCCTGGAGTGTTACTGGGCAGGCAGTGTGCTTCTTTGAAGCCCTCCCAACTTCTAAGAGGCCTTCTCGGAAGCCTGTGGGTTGTGCTAAGAAGCCATTGCCTTGTAAGAAGCCCCTTGCCTTCTAAGAATGCCACCTCTCCCACGCCACCCCCGCGAGCGCGCCGACAAGAGGAGACCACCTCTCCCACGCCCCCCCCGCGAGCGCGCCGCCAAGAGGAGGGAGGAGGGAGGACATTTCTGGCTCTTGCTTTTTGTGCCCACGGAAACCCAGTCTGGACTGCGTCCAGGAGTGGGCCAGGGATTGACTCCGTGCGAGGGCACACTGGCCGACCCGGGCTTCCAAGCGTTGCGAGCAGCATCAGGGCGGCTGGTTCTGCTTGTCTGGCTGGACGTCGGAGGCCCGGGGAGGAGGCGCCCGTTCTCACTCCTCCTTCCTATCAGCCCTGCCCTGCCCCTCCTCTTCCCCTTCCCCCCACCTACCTCTCATCGCCTCTCCCTTCCCACTCCTTCCAGCCCCTCCACACTTCCACTCTCGCCCCACAGCGAGGCGGGAGGGGGGGAGTGGAGGGGAGGATGGAGAAGGAAACAAGGAGAACGGAGAAGGGAGGCGACTGGCGGGAGGCGGCTGGAATGATGGAGGGATGAGAGGGGGAGGGAGGACTGAGGATGGAGGAGGCAGGAGGCAATGGAGGTAGGAAGGAGGGCTGGAGGGGGCAGGATGGAGGCGGGAGGGAGGGCACTCGATGGACGCAGCGAGGAGACTGAGGACGGATGCGGGAAGAGGATGGTGGTGGTGACGGCGATGGGGACAATGATCACGTTGCTTCGTGAGGACGCCAGAGCCAGAGCTAGCTTTGTTATGGGGCCCCAGATGATGATGAGCAGGCAGAGGTCCAATGAGAGGATGACGAAGAGTAAGATGATGATGACGGTGGAAGAGGAGGAAGAGGAGGACCCAAAGGAGAACCAGGCCGACAAAACTCGAGCGATACTGCGGGGCTCTCCCAGTATCATTCTCCCCCTCACCACATCATAATCATGTCTGGTACTGTTGGTCATCGGGACCGGCGCGTGTTACCCCCTAGCGAACAGAAGCCGCTCGCGCGCACGGCACCGCTTCCGACGACTTGACGAGGAAAAATGTATGGACCGCGCGCAGACGGGTGCGGAACTCACGCAATCCTTGCGCGGCGCTTCGGCGAGAGTACGATTCAGGCGTCTCGCGCGGAACCATATTACCAATGGGAGCGGCGAGGACAAACAACTCGCCTCGCCAAAGCGGGAAGGCCAGAGATTCAGGCGAAGTGTGCGCGGCGTTCCGTCGAAAGCGACAGTTTGCCCGCTCGCGTTCGGCCGTCCGACGACTCGGCGAACGAAGCATATGCGCCACGCCCGTCCAGGCGACATGTGCAAGGCGTTTCGGGCGAAGAGCACCATACTATCGCGCAAACTTGGACGCTCTTCGCCGAAGACGTGGCACCAAACAACAAATTATGTCAGAGTGAGGGGGCCGAACGGTCATTCACTGTCCCTGGGTGCGTGGCTGATGTGGAATTCCGCGGTGCGGATTCTTGTTGTTGTTGTTGTTGTTGTTGTTGTTGTTGTTGTTGTTGTTTTGTTGTTGTTGTTGTTTGTTGTCGTCGTCCCACCCGCAACCCGCCCCGCGACCCACCCGCGACCCACCCCGCGACCCACCCCGCGACCCACCCCGCGACCCACCCGCGACCCACCCGCGACCCACCCCGCGACCCACCCCGCGACCCACCCCGCGACCCACCCCGCGACCCACCCGCGACCCACCCGCGACCCACCCGCGACCCACCGCGCGACCCACCCGCGACCCACCGCGCGACCTACCCCGCGACCCACCCGCGACCCACCTTCGACCCAAACCACGTTCAAGGTACAAACCACAATTTTCGGCGCCTGCGGCGGGCTTTTTTGCATTCCTTCCAAGTGGAGAGCCCGCGACACATCCCGTGACCAACTCGCGACCAACCCGCGACCCAAACCACGTTCAGGGTACAAACCACATTTTTCGGCGCCTGCGGCGGGCATATTTTGCATTCGTTTCAGGTGGAGAGCCCGCGGCCCACCCGCGACCACGTTCAGGGTACAAACCACATTTTCGGCGCCTGCGGCGGGCATCCTTTGCATTCGTTCCCTGTGGAGAACCCGCGGCCCACCCGCGACCCAAACCTCGTTCCGTGTACGAACCAATTTTTTTGGCGCTTGCGGCGGGCTGCTTTTGCATTCCTTCCAGGTGGAGGTGGAGAGCCCGCGACCCACCCGCGACCTAAACCACGTTCACTGAACAAACCAATGCCGCACAAGCGCGGCGGCGGATTCTTGCATGCCGTCTGAGCCCGCAAGGACCTCTTCACGCCCCGCACATCCACGCCAGCCCGTCCAGCAACTTTGCCCTGGCGAGTTGCCTTGATCAGAGAAGGCGGGGAGCATAAAGTGGAAAAAAAATTGCGTTGCAGTTATCTTGGGAAAGGAGGGGGAGGCAGGATGAGTAAACAGGGGACGAGGAGAACGTGGAAGAAGAGAGGATGTAAGGAGAACGTGGAAAAGAAAAGGAGGAGGAGCAGGAGGACGAGGGGGAGGAGGGGGAGGAGGGGGAGGAGGAGGACGAGGAGGGGGAGGATGGGGAGGATGATGATGATGGACGACAATGGGAGGACGATGATGGAGGCCGATGAGGGGGAGGACGACAATGGGAGGACCATGATGAAAAGACGAGGGGGGGAGAGGGAGGACGAGAAGAAGAGAGGAGGAGGAGGAGGAGGAGGACGAGGTGGAGGAGGAGGATGACGATGACGATGAGGACGAGGAAGAGGAGGAGGAGAAGGAGGAGGAAGAGGAGGAGAAGGAGGAGGAGGAGGAGGTGGAGGAGAGCGCCATCGACAAGGAAGGTGGGGGCCACGAGGTCCGCCGGCTCGACGACGCCCGCGTCGCCCGCGCCCGCCCCCTCACTCTTACCCGCAATTGCGGGGTGCTACGTATTTCCCAACCATCCTGTGGTGGTGAGTCCTCGTTCTGGGGAGACTGCACGCCGCGTTCCCGCTTCTCTCTCCTTCCTTCCACCCTCCTCTCATCCCTTGCTTCTGCCCTCCGCATGTCCTCATCGTGGTCATACGGGTGCATGCAGTTACACCTACATTTCGGCGCACCCCTTTTCGTGGCCCAACAAGATGTTCTACCCGAGACCCCAGTGGCAGGGGCCGTATGTAATCCCACCTTTTTTATCCAGCGCACCACTCACACGTTTCGTGGCCTCATAGGGTGCTCCGCTGATGGCCCCAGTGGCAGGGTCCGCATGCAGTACCACCCCAACTTCGGCGCGCCCCTCACACGCTTCGGGGCCCCATAGGGTGTTCCACCGAAGGCCCCAGTGGCAAGGTCCGCATGCAGTTCCACCTGCATGTTGGCGCACCCCTCCCACGTTTCATGGCCCCATGGGGAGCTCCACCGAAGGCACCAGTGGGAGGGTCCGCATGCAGTTCCACCTCCATTTCTGCGCACCCCGCACAGGCTTCGTGGCCCAACATGATGCTTTACCCGAGACCCCAGTGGAAGGGTCAGCATGCAGTTCCACCCCCAACCGGGCGCACCCCTCCCACGTTTCGTGTCTTCATAGGGTGCCCCACCGAAGGCTTCAGTGGCAGGGTCCGCATGCAGTACCGCCCCAATTTCGGCGCGCCCCTCACACGCTTCGGGGCCCCATCGAAGGCCCCAGTGTAAGGGTCCGCATGCAGCTCCACTTCCCTCAGCGCACCACTCACACGTTTCGGGGCCCCATAGGGTGCTCCACCGAAGGCCCCAGTGGCAGGGTCCGCATGCAGTTCCGCCTGCACATCGGCGCACCCCTCCACGTTTCGTGAACCCATGGGGTGCTCCACCGAAGGCCCCAGTGGCAGGGCCCGCATGCAGGACCGCCTCCATGTAGGCGCACCGCATCACACATTTCGGGGCCCGATAGTGTGCCCCACCGAAGGCCCCAGTGGCAGGGTTCGCGTGCAGTTCCACCCCCATCCCGGCGCACCCTTCCCACGTTTCATGGCCCCATAGTGTATTCCACAGAAGGTTTCAGTGGCAGGGTCCGCATGCAGTTCTACCCCCCTCACTTGGCGCACCCCTCCCACGTTCCGTGGTCCCATAGGGTGATCCGCCGAAGGCCCCAGTGGCAGGAACCGCATGCAGTGCCACCTCCGTTTCGGCGCACCACTCACAAGTTCTGTGCCCCCGTAAGGTGTTCCACCTCATCATCCGTATCATCATCATCATCATCATCATCATCATCATCATCATCATCATCATCATCATCATCATCATCATCATCATCATCATGATCATCATCATCCTCATCCTCATCCTCATCCTCATCCTCATCCTCATCATCCTCATCATCCTCATCATCATCATAAGGCCGCCGCGAGCTCGAGCCATCGGAGGCGCAGCGGCCTCAGAGGACGCGCCCCCCCGTGCTTTCGCAGTCTGCAGAGGTCCAAGCACCACACCCGCGCAGGGCGATGTGCACCGGCGCGTGTGCTCTGCACGCCGCACCGTGTCGAGCCCGACGTGAAGAAGGGCAATCATCATACGAGCAGGGGATGGGTGACGTCGGCTACGACAAGATCTACGACATCTACGTCCCGCCGCAGCACCCGCGCCTGTTCGACGGGCCTGGCCTGGTGGCCGACATCATCATCAAACCGAGCATCTCCCGCGAGACGCTGCAGCAGAACAAGATCTTGCGAGCGATCAAGAAGAGTCTCGTCAAGAAGTGCCTCGAGATGTTTGTGGAGACCGCCGAGAAGAAGGACGACTACAAGAAGTTCCACGAGCAGTTCGGCAAGTGCCTCAAGCTTGGCGTGCACGAAGATTTCACCAACCGCACCGAGGTCGCGGAGCTTATGCGCTACCACACCTCGAGATCTGGAGATGAGATGATCAGCCTGAAGGAGTGTGTGGACCGCACGAAGGAGGGGCATAATGACATCTACTACATTACGGGGGAGAGCATCGCAGCGGTGTCGTCCTCGCCTTTCCTGGAAACGCTGCGCAAGAAGGGTCTTGAGGTCCTCTACATGACCGATCCCATCGATGAGTACTCCGTGCAGCAGCTGAAGGAGTTCGACGGCAAGAAGCTCAAGTCGACGACCAAGGAAGGTGTGGACCTCGAGGACGAGGACGAGAAGCAGAAGCTGGAGGAGCTGAAGGCGGAGTTCGAGCCGCTGACGAAGTTGATGAAGGAGGTGCTGGGCGACAAGGTGGGGAAGGTGGTTAACCAGGGGACGGGTGACGTCGGCTACGACAAGATCTACGACATCTACGTCCCGCCGCAGCACCCGCGCCTGTTCGACGGGCCTGGCCTGGTGGTCGACACCATCATCAAACCCACGCACGGCCTGCAGCCGAAGCCTTTCGTCGAGGCCTGCTATGGCTTCTGGCAGGACGGCGACTTCATAAAGAACGACGAGCCCCTGAGCAACGTTCTGCCAGCTGAACGTGAAAGCGCAGGCCCTCCGACATTACTGCATGCACTCCTACATGGCGTCCAACAAGATTCTCATCTTTGGCTTCCAGAGGTGGCGGGCAAGCTCATGGGCATGGCCTTCCGCGTGCCCACAATCGACGTGTCGGTCGTGGACCTCACCTGTGGGCTGGAGAAGGCGACGACCTACGAGGAGATCTGCGCCGAGATCAAGAGGCGCTCCGGGGGCGACATGAAGGGATACTTGGGCCACTGCGACGAGGCTCTCGTGTCCACCGGCTTCGAGACGTGCCCCATCTCCAGCACCTTCGATTCCAAGGCGGGCATCATGCTGGACCCCACGGTCGTGAAGCTAGTGGTCTGGTACGACAACGAGTGGGGCTACTCGTGCCGTGTCGTTGACCTGATCAAGCACATGGCCAAGGCCGACGGGGCGTAGGATGTAGGATGGTGCCCGTCGCATCCTCACTGTGCATTAGCTGTCCCATCTTTTTTCTCCTATACGGGCCTACGCAGATCGCAGGGCGCATCCACCGCATGCTCAGCTTGGCCTCATCAGGCCTTGGAGGATGGAGACCTGCCCCCTCTTGAGGAGATCGTGGGCGCCGCCAACGAGGCATCGAAGATGGCGAAACGTCGGCTGAGATGCTGTCGCACTTCCTTTCTGACGCACCCTCTGAGCCACGGCCATATTTGCATCTTTTTTACGTTAAGTGACTCGGGCACCCGCTCGCCTGCGTGTAATGGAGCTTTGAATTACTTGCGACTCGGATCGGCCACCGCCAGTCTTTCGTAAGCACCCGCTCGCATGCAAGCTAGATACACGGTCTCTGGCTGTGCGTCGAAGCACCCCGAGTGCACTCGCCCCACGCGGGTTTATCGGGACATGACTCTGTTATGCCCCCTGCGACGGACCACCAGCTGCATACTTGGTCTTGATGCCGAGGAAAAATCACCATCATCACCACCATCATCATTATCATCAGCATCATCATCAGCAGCATCATCATCATCAGCAGCTTCATCATCATGATCATCCGCCCGCTCCCTCCTTCCTCCCGCTCTTGCCGCAGCCCCCCTAGTCCACAGTCCACTGCTCCTTGGCAACGCAGCGACGCAGCAATCCGCCTCGGCACCTTCTCTCACTACCCCCTATCGAGGAGCCACGCCAATGGCCATATAGGGTGCTCCACCGAAGGCCCAAGTAGCAGCGCCCGCGTGCCGCCGCCATCCTACTTTGGCACACCCACAAACGCCCCCACAAGAAGCTCCACCGATGACGATACGACTGCGGCACTCACAAATGCATAATTATGGTGGGGTCCTTCTTCTGGCTAATGGATTGGTTCCCGACCGTCATGTGGTGTTGGGTCCCCGTTTTGAAGAGATAGCGCCCCGCGTTCCTCTTTCCTCTTTCCTTCCTCCTCCCCCTCCTCCCTCATCTATTCCCAGCTTCTGCCCTGCATATGCGGCCCCATAGGGAGCTCCACCGACGGCCCTGGCGACACGGTCCGCACGGTGCACCCGCATCCGATTCGGCACACCTTTCACACGTTTCGTGTCCCCATCATCGGGAGCTCCACCGAAGGCCCCAGCGACAGGGTCCGCATGGTGTGCCCGCATCTGGTTCGGCACGCCCTTCACACGAGACGTGGCCCCATTTGGTGGTCGTCCGAAGGCCCAAGCAGCAGGGTCCGCATGGTGTGCCCGCAGCCGACACACACCTCAAACGTTTCGTGGCCCCATAGGGAACTCCACCGAAGGCCCCAACTGCAGGGTCCGCATGGCGTATCCGCACCCGATTTCTCACACCCCTCAAACGTTTCGGAGCTCTACCGAAGGCCCCAGCGGCAGGGTCCGCATGGCATACACGCGCCCGATCCAGCACACCCCTCGCACGTTCTGCGGCCCTGGAGGGAGCTCCACCGAAGGCCCCAGTGGCACGGTCTTCATGGCGTGCCCGCATCTGGTTCAGCACACCCTTCTTGCGCTTCGTGGATCCATAGGGAGCCCCACCGACGGCCCCAGTGGCAGGGTCCGCAAGGCACACCCGCATCTGATTAGGCACACCCCTCACACGATACGTGGCCCCATAGGGAACTCCACCGAAGGCCTCAGCGACAGGGTCCGCATGGCGTGCCCTCACATGTGCCGTGGCCCCGGGGGGAGCTACATTGAAGGCCCCAGCGGCAGGGTCCGCATGGCATACACGCGCCCGATTCAGCACACCCCTCACACACATGTCGCGGCCCCATGAAAGAGGACTCCACCGAAGGCCCCAGCGGCAGGGTCCGTATGGGTACCCGCATTCGATTCAGCAGACTCCTCACACGTTTCGTGGCCCCGTAGGGAGCCCCACCGAATGCCCCAACGGTACGGTCCGCATGGCGTACCCGCATCCGATTCGGCACACCCTTCGCACGTGCCGTCGCCCCACAGGCAGCTCCACCGAAAGCCGCAGCGGCATGGTCCTCATGGCGCCCCCGCATCCGATTCGGCACACCCTCCCCATGTTATGTGGCCCCACAGGGAGCTCCATCCAAGGTCTCAGCGGCAGAGTCCGCATGGCGCACCCGCCCCATGTTGGCACACCCTCGCTGTTTTCGCAGCTTCATGGTTGGGCCCCTCGCCAGGATAGTCTACGATAGGGGGGCTGTTAGTATGCAGCCGTGGAATCTCCTCCCCAAAGGGGAAGCGGATGTTGAAGGAGGAGACTTCATAGACCGCATACGTCCAGAAGGCTGCTGGGATTTGGAGCTGTTGAACCTGTGTAAGTCGGCGCCTCTGCAGGCCGGTGTCGGGCCCGAGGCCCATCAGGAATTGGCGCAGGACGAGAAGCCGGCCCTGGGGAGGGGATCGAGAGGGGCCCGCGTCTCGGGTCGGAGGGATTGAGCCGGCGGATGTCTGGGAGCTCGTGCGCCGTGGACAGATTGGAAACCGTGATGAGCGATCGCCGCCGCGCTCTTTTGGATCGCGGCCCTGGGCCGGCCGCGACGGCGGCGAGCACGCCGACGGCCCGCGGCGGCAGGCGCAGGCGCGGGCGCCGCGCTCGCCCCGCCCGGCCTGGTCGCCCGCTGGGCGCGCCGGCTCGGCGCGGTCTCCGTCCTCGCCGCGGTCCCCGTCCCCGGGGTCTCCGAGGAGCGGGGGAGGGCCTCCTGTGAAGCAGCGGCGAAGCGTCCTGGCTGCGCCCGTGGCCCTACCAAGCCATGTTCTAAAGAACTTTTGTCATGGTTCCCACGAAATGTGCTTAGAACATTTCTGGCGGAGTCTGTCTTGTTTGAACACATCGGGCGTTTGTTCTGAGAACCTTGATTTTGTTCTCAGAACACTTGTGGGTTCTAAGAACACTTCGTGGTAGGACTATAGGAATGCCGGGACGGTCGGTCCCTGCTCAAGGGGAGGGCATCTGTGCACTGATCAGTCCATCGGCTGCGCGTTAGAGTGGCCCTTGGCGCGGCTGGACGTATCCCCCCCGCGGCCCCATAGTGCCGCGCACCAGAGCTTGCTCTTTGCCTATAGGGTGACTCCTTGCACGGAGACGAACTCGATGGCAGGGGATGCCTACAGTACTTCAGGATGGGGTCCTTACCTTGTATCATCATCATGGGATATGGCAAGGCCTTTCTTCGGCCCAATTTGTTTATACACCGTCGTGATCAACCCAAGGAGGCGTACACACCACTGGATGGGCATGGCCGAGGTCGCTGTTGGTAAGCTTAGAGTCTGCCTGAGGAGACGACCGTCGAGCCCGAGCCCGACGCCGAGTCCAAGGTCGGGGGCGGCGTTTCGCGGCCCGCCCGTGGTTGCCATTGCCACTGCGACATTTGCTACGAGCGTTGTTGTTATGAATGCGTTGCAGAATTTCTGTTGACCCCACAAACGCTGCTACGAAACTTGATATCACAAGTCGCCGCAAGTTCTAGAAACAGTTCTTGCCGACCCGGCAGTACGCCTGCCATCACAATCTCCAGGATTTCCATGGGTAGCATTGCGACCGCTTCTTTGCATCTGCTGCTCCGAGTAACACTACGACGGACATCACCCCTGCTACGATTACTCTGCTGAGATATCCCCTTTTTCTTGCGACGGTGAATTCTGCCCATGCTGCACATACACGCACAGATGCGCTGCCAACGGCTGCGAAAAGACGCAATGTGTTCGGACGGCGATGATTCTTGCTTTTTTCAGTTTGCACTTAAGCATACATAGTACTATGTGTTCTGCTTCTGGCAGGTGTAACGCCATTGCGTTTGTTCTGGTCACTGGTAATACTGATGGTCGTTGGTTTTCGAATGTAGAAGCACAACAGTGTTGCATTGCACTCTCGATGTGCATTATTTGTGGGGCAATTTGGGGTGGTGCAAGCCACGTTCGGTAATACGCCGGGTGTATTTGGTGCTGAACATCTTGACGCTGTCCATTCCAATGCTCGTTCAAGAATCTCACCCTCCCACCCGAAAATGTTTGGCAGCACTCATACTGTCATTATCTCCTCAGGAGCGCGGGCGCGTGGCCCCTAAGGGCACAGACAGGTTCCATCCTCCATGGGGGCGAATGGAGAAGTCGCTGCAGATGATGGCGACGACAACGACGACGATGGCGGTGACAATGGCGATGACAGTGATGAGGCGTGGGACGATGGTGATGGTGATGGTGATGCAGATGATGGTGAAGACGTTGGCGAGACGACGATGACGATGCTGTCAATGAGGGTGATGATGAGTTGGAGGATGACCTTGACGATGACGATGGTGATGACGACGGCGGAGTGGATGATAGGGATGTCAATGCTGATGGAAATGATGTTGAGGATGGTGGTGATGGTAATGATGACGCTGGCGATGGTGAGAACAATGATGATGGTAATGATGAATTGGAAGTGTGCGCGCGGGAATTTGCCATTGCGCGCGTGTCTGCGCTAGTCTTCCGCACGGTACGATCTTGTAGGGTTTGGCATGAGCGTGCGTGTGGCTCGCATGGTTCCAGCTTGCCGAATGCCAAACAGCAGAAGGCCCGTATGACTCGTGTCAACGCGAGCAAGCAGCAGCATGGCTTTCGTGAAATGAAGGCATTGCTTTTATAGTTGTTTGAAGAAGTATGGCTTGTAAACGTCAGAAAAGCATTGGACAAGCGTGCGCGGCGGCTCAGTGTGTGGCAGGCACGATGTTCTTTGACCGAGATCAGGCCCCTGAGGACCCGGACACATATACAACCAGGACACGGAAAACCACGGCAACGACACATTCTCTTGCAACGTCATTCTTTTTTCAGCACCAGTGTGTTTCTGTTTGGTGCACTGCGGGATTCGGGATTGTGTCCGGCTTTCATCTGGAAATGTTACAGGTCAGTATTTTGTTCGTGCCGCCGTCTGGAACAATGGGTTTCGAGGTTGAGGGATGGTGGGTGTTTGGGTCTAACGTGTCCGGATTTACGGGGCCTTGACGAGATCCATACAAGGCGCATTTGATAGGTCAACGAGTTTGCCCCGCATTGTTTGTATGTGAGGATGGGGCCGGGATGATTTGATTGCAAGGGCCTTGCGGCCGTTTCCGCCGCTTTTGGCAAGATATCGTAACAGCGCAAGAGGCTGGAGGTGGCGGGAGAGAATGAGCCCTCTCGGGTGGGTTCTTGGCGGCCTCGGGAGGAGGCCTTGAAATCTGAGGTCGGGTTCCCCCTTTCGGGCCCGTCTTGGGCCCCTTGGTGTCTCTTGGGGCATCCGGGGGCTGTCTCGGGAAGTCCCGCGGCTCTTTGTGAGGCCCCTTTGGTCGTGTTGGGGATATATCAGGGGCCTCGTGGATCCATCAGTAAGGGTCTGGGCTTCCTATGGCCGTCGTGCGGGGTCCTATCGAGGCTTTCCTGGGCCGTGTTGGAGGCTTCTGGGGCCGTCTCGGTGCCTTCTCGGGCGTCGTGGGCTGACGTTGCCACAGACAGACCAAGCTGGCCCGAGGATTAACGAAAAGGTCCAGGGAGGCAAGCACATTCTCGTGCAAAGCCTCTCCTGGGACTCTGCCCGGGCGTTTCCTCGGCGAGGGCCTCCCTCCCCCCCCCGCCCCGGCCTTCCCCAGGGCCCCCGCCCGTCGGGGAAGGGATCCAGGGAAAAGGGTTCCCCTTCGAGCTTGCTACGATTTGGAACGGAGGGGGCAGGGGGGAGCAGGAGGGAGGGAGGGGGGAGGAGAAGGAGGAGAAGGAGGAGCAGGAGGAGGAGAGGGAGAAGGGAAGTCCAGGGAAAAGGGTTCCCCTTCGAGCTTGCTACGATTTGGAACGGAGGGGGCAGGGAGGAGGGAGGAGGTAGGGAGGAGGGAGGGAGGGGGAGGGAGGGAGGGGGGAGGACAAGCTAGGTGCGCTCGCGTCATATCTGACGTCCTACCCCTCCCTCCCATCCCTTACCATGGCGCTGATTTTCTCTATCCGCGGACGCGTGTCGTAGCGGACCTGTGGCTCCGCGCGCGCGTGCGTAGTGGGTGGTGGTGCACGTGCGTGCGTGCGTGCGTGTGTGCGTGGTTGTGGTGGTGGTGGTGTGCTGGTGCTGGTGCTGGTGCTGGTGCTGGTGCTCGTGCTGGTGGTGGTGCTGGTGCTGGTGGTGGTTGTGATGGTGGTGGTGGTGGTGGTGGTGGTGGTGGTGGTGGTGGTGGTGGTGGTGGTGGTGGTGGTGCGGCGCGGTGGTGGCGGGCGGATGGGCGCGCGAGAAAGAGGCCCGCGCTGGGGCGAGAACGCCATCCTGAACGACGGAGGCCAAACACCGATCCGAAAATGAGGCCCACGCTGCAGCGGGAGCACGATTCGGAACGATTCGGGAGCAGAAATGAGGCCGGCGCCTCAGCGAGAGCATCATTAAAAAACAAAAACGCATGCGAAAACCCGTTTCCCGGGAATCTGGTGTGTAAAAAACAGTACGCGGGGGGCGCTCGGCCCGAAAATGACGCCGGCGCCTCAGCGAGAGTCGTTTCCCGGGATTTCCCGGGCATCCTGTGTGTAAAAAACAGTACGCGGAGAATGCGCGGCCATCACCTGGACGCCATCAGGGGAAGAGGGAGAGTATTTTCATATTGAGTAATTGTGAAGGAGGAGGAGGATTGGGTAGAGGGAGAAGGGAGGTCCAGGGGAAAGGGTTCCCCTTCGAGCTTGCTACGATTTGGAATGATCATTGACGGGCTGGCGACCTCGACCCCCCGCTCAGGGACCTCGCCATGGTCTGGGGCCTTGGGCTCTGCAGACCTCTGGGATGGTGGGCTCTACAAGGCTGTCTCGAAGCCTCTCCCACACGTCGACGGGGGTCGGCGGATTTGACATGCAGGGCGAACGATCGTGCAGGATAGATCTGACAACATATGTGGAGAGCGGGGACTCTACCCCCACCGAGAGGTGGGGTAGAGCCTAATGACTACTGTTCTATCCCCCTGCTGGCTGACATATTTCTGTTGAGGCCCTTGTCTGTGAGTCTTGCGCTACGACTGCACACCTGGCGTCGAGCGGGGCGTCTATATGGAGTTTGCAAAAAAAACTGTTTCGAGTCAGCAAGCCCGTTTGCTTCGGAAGAGCTGGTCAGGAATGGGAAGATTGTGCATGCACACATATCACGATAGTCGCAGAGGCAATAACAAATCCGTGGCGTCCAAAACCAGAGTCTTGCGACACGGCTGCACAGCTAGCGCGGAGCGGGGCCCGGAGACGAGGCTCGCAACCAGAGAGTCGATTCGAGCCAGCAAAAGCAGATCGGGAGGTCGGAATCGTGAAACATTCCGTCGCAATGAATTCAGCTTCAGGAGAAGTTGATGCAGCAGGAACGTTAGCAAATCCGAGATCATAGCTCAGGGCGGTTGCGTTGCAGCAGTTGCGGTTGCACATCGGGCGCTAACAGAAACAGCAGTCTCGGTTCTGGAGCGGTGGTCAAATGACACATCGATTTCTGCACATGCCAGGGCCTAATCTCATGCTGGCGGGCTCGCCTACAGCTAGCACGCCATAAAATGGCACCAACGACGAGGCATTTGGTCGTGCGGCCCCGTCGCGGAGCTGCAGCGACGTCGAGGATCTCGCCGAAGTTGGCTGTTGAGTGCCTCGGGCAGCGTGGCCGTCGCAGCAGCATCAAGGGCGCGCTTTACCGACTCAGGGCCACAGCCTGAGCCCGCATTACGTCCCGCGGCAGGGCGCGGTCCAAAGGTCGGGCGAAGAGCCCGATCTTTGGATCGCGCCCTCCCAAAGAGGAGGAGGAAGAGCAGGAGGAGGAGGAGGAGGAGGAGGAGGAGGAGGAGGAGGGAGAAGGAGCAGGAAGAGGGAGAGGGGGGAGAAGGCGGAGGAGAAGGCGGAGGAGGAGGAGGAGGAGGAGGAGGAGAGGAGGAGGAGGGTGAGGAGGAGGAGGAGGAGGAGGAGGAGAGGAAGAGGAGGAGGAGGAGGAGGAGGAGGAGGAGGAGGGTGAGGAGGGTGAGGTGGAGGAGGAAGAGGAGGAGGAGCAGGAGGAGCAGGACGAAGGGAGTGAGGCGGGAGGCCCCCTCCTCCCCCGGCGCCAGGGGCAGAGCCGCGCGCACCTCGCCGGGCGCACCTCGGTCACGGCGCCCGGCACGGGCGCCCTTGGCGGCCTCGGAGGCTGCCCGCGGGGTCCGCGGGGGGCTCGCCCCGTCGTGCTGAGGGAGCCGCCCGCTCGAGCGGCGCAGAAGTCGAGGACGAAGCGACTGCACAAACCTGAACTGCTGGAGCTCCGCGCGGATTTCCAGGATCCGCGCTGGGCTCCCCCGGCGGCGCCTCCGGCGCCGCCCCTGGCGCGCTCCGCGCGCCACAGAGGGGGTCTGGCGTAGATCTCAGAGGTCCGCGCGGAGCGCCAGAAGCTTATGATTGTGGCGGTTTCCATCCTTCTACACGGGGGATTTGTGCAGGTTCGTGTCGTGTCGACCGTGGGCGACCCCGCCGCCGGCGTTCAACGTTGAATGCCGGTGGCGGCCCAGCATCGGTCGATGTTGGACGACCAGACTTCTCGAAAACGGCTGGCCGTTCGAGGTCGAAAGATCCCTGCGGCACAGACACGAATTCTGGACCTCCGCGCGGCTTTCTCGGATAGGCGCTGGACTCCCCTGGCGGCGCCTCGGTGGCCGCTCCTGGCGCGCTCCGTGCTCCAGGCGGGGCGGGGGGGCCAGCGCCGATCCAAGGCAACCTTGCGGACCTTCGAACCTGTATTTAAGTCGGGTCTGTCCCTCTACAGGGGGAGCTTCGACGAAAAATCAAAAATACCCCACAAATGCACCAAAAAGGCCAAAGGATATTCAACAAAAAAACGTCCGCGGACTATGTTTGGATTATGTTCTGATCATGTTTGGACTATGTTTTATCTTTCGTCGAAAATCCCCCTGTAGGGGGACAGGCCCGACTTAAACCTGTATGTTTCTGTTGCTCGTTCCCGGGGGAGCCGCCCGCTCGACGGACCCAGAAGGGCTTCGCGCATATGGCCGCGTAGCCGCCGTGCTTTGGCCTCAGGGGCAGCCTGGTCCCTCGGATGGTGTGTCGTGCCTCCCGGCCCCGACCGGGAAGGCGTACACACCACGCGTGGGCGCATGGTGGCCCTGCCCAGGCACGGCGGTCGTGCGTTGTGATACATGGTTTTCCTAGACAACGCTGGCGCGCAAGTTTCCAGCGTATGTACTGTCGCGCGCAGGCTCCCCCCCTTCCAGGCAATGTGCTGCGTTAGCGGTCTGCGTAAGCCCTCACGTAGAGTCGGTGTGCAGTCGCGCATGAATCATAAGACCGCTGCCTCTTTCCGCCGTTCACTTGCATCTCATGGGCGGAGGAGGGGAGGTAGGACAGCAAGAACACGGGGACATGGGGCATGGCCAGGATCAGGACGAGGAAACGCATGGGCAGAGGTCTTGGTGCTCAATCGCAGCTCGGGTGCGACCATCATCGCCGCCGTTCTTTTTGTCCCTCCTGTGTGTTACCACCCCTCTTCTTCTTTTCCTTCCCCTCACATCCTCATTCTCATTGCCTTCGTCGTTTCCAGATGTTCTGTTGTCGGACCGAGGTATGCTCGGGGTCGGCATAGAGGGGGTTGATGCTTGGGGGGGAGATCATGGCGGGGGCCATACTATCTCCCCAGATTGCATGGCGCGCCTCTTCTTGTTTCACTACATCCCCGGCCCCCCCTGGGCCGCGCACATGCCGCTGGCCATGAGTTGCGCCCCCTCCCCCTCGTGGACGCCCCCCTTTTGGCCGCCCCCGATATAAGATCGAGGTAGGTTCGGGGAGGGTGCCCTCATTTTTGTTCGTGTTTGTTGGATGGTCTTGCGCATCCTGGGGGAGGGTGCCCTCGAATGTTATCCAGTTTGTTATTCCGTCCTGGGTCCAGCTCCTTCCCACGCAAGTGGGCCGTTTGTTCGCTCGGACATCCGATTTGGGACGACATACTGCTCAAGTGCGGCTGCATATGCGCCAGCAGCAAGGACATCTACATGCCAGTCGGTCCCGCCAGACATAAGGAACGGTTCCCCCACGATTCGGACCAGATTGACACCATGAACATGATTGTCACAGTCAACAAGAAGTTTCGCAATCATTGGCGGCGGCAGGCAGTTGTAAGGACTGTGCTATCTCAGTTTGTTGAGCCGTTGCCCGTCTATGCGATGACCATCGTCAAAGAAGTTCACGCATCATTAGTTCCGGCACGTGCCCAAACACAAGTATGTGGCTCTTATCGCCGGACATAAGTGGTGCTTCAGAAGGACAGGGCCCTGGCGCGACGTTCTGCTTTGGCTAACAGGGTGGACGACCCCCGCACCCAGTTGCATGAGCTAGAAGACAAGGGTTTCGCCAATGAGGAGGTGCTCGTGGCCTCCACGCGTCGCAGCTGGCACTTCAGTGCCGATTCTAGGCACGCTCATCTTGCCACCCTCTTCCTGCGCACTGCGCAAGGCTGAGGAGCGCAGCCCCGCTGTAGGCCCCGCAGCTGGCGACCGGGACCGAACATTTTCTGCCTCCATCAGCAAGTATTCCGCCGACAATGCCACAGACGCTCTCCATGCAAACATCACCCCGATCTTGTTCTAGAGACTTGCAAGAAGCGCAATGCCGATTCACCCACTGGTGGTGCCTTTGATTCGCCACGCCGAATACTCAGCATCGTCTGCCGCGAAGGCGGAGGCCAATTCCCGCGGGTATCAGGCAGGCCGTTGAGCACCACCAGCCTGAGCCGTTAGGTTTCACGCCTGGTGATGGAGCGGAGTCTCCATACCGACTCGTTGTTGTTGTCGGTCCAGATCATTTCTTGTTACGATCCATTGCAGGTCCTTCAATCAGAGTCAGATCCCAAAGACCACTCTCTCCGAGCACGCAGAGATCACAATGGCCGAGGGCACCACCGACCACGTCGCCAAGAATGCAGAGCGAACAAATCATCAAAACATCACGGACGGGCACACATTACAACAGCAGGGCCCGAGTTTCAGCAGCAGGGCCAACTGGGAATCTGCGCTGACAACTTGTCCGAGAACCTTCATTTCGCCAAGCCAGTTGCGCGAGCACCCGACCGAGCCCAAGTGGGCGTCGCGTCAGCCGCTTTTAGCACGGGGTACAGCAACGCAGCGTTGGAACTCAGACTGGCCTGCGTGTCCACTATCGCGGCAAGAGGGTGGACGAAGACGATCGTTTTTGTTTCCATGTCGCGCGTTCGAACCATGGTCCGACCAACCACCGATGGAAGAGGGATGCCGCCCCGAGGCCACCGACGCGTTCCACTGATGTTTCTACAGGAGCAGCACGATACCCGACATCGAGGACATGAACGGCCATCAGTTAGCAAGGCCCAACTACATACCTCACTACCGCACTGCCGCGTGGACCACAAGACACCAGGACGGATCCACGCGCGATGCGGAGCGAAGAGCTCTAATCGCCGCCCTGTCACGGCCAATGGCAGAAGGTTTTGGCCGATAGGTTCTTAGTTCCCAACCTTCATGTGGTGTTGGGTCCTCGCTTTGAAGAGACGGTCCCCGCGTTCCTCTTCGCCTCCTCCTCCTTCTCCTTCTTCTCCTCCCTCCTCCCGTCACCCGCCTCATTTTGGCACGCCCCTCATACGTTTCGTGCTCCCAGTACAGCGTTTCGTGGCCCCTAAGGGGGCTTCACCAAGGGCCCCAGCGGGGGTGCCCGCACGCGTCCCCACCCAGTAGCTAGTGGCCGTTAGGACGTGTGTAACAATTTCTTAACTCTGATCCGGGTGGAGGGCGGGCTCAGGATGGCGTCTCGCTAGCCTTCGCCGGACGTGGCCGTTTTGGCTGAAGCCGGCGAGTTGCGAAACGTTAGAGTGGCCTTAGTTTGCCAGGAACACAGCTCGCTACCAGCAATGTCCCTCTTCCCGCCTGCAGCGCCTGGCGTGGAGCCCGCGGCAGGGTTCGCGGTGCCACCCCGCGCGGCGGGCGGGGGAGTCGGCGGGGCAGAGAGCGGTGCCGGTTCGAGGGGGCCAGGCGGGGCAGGCGTCGCGTCAGCTGGAACGACGGCCGCGCTTCGTGGCCTCACCTTCGGCGCCGCTGCCAGGTCGCTGGGCTTCTCCGAGGATCTCCTCAAGCCTTACGTGGAGGCGCTCGGGGGCGCGTGGGAGAGCACCTCCGTGAGCGACGTGTACGGCAGCCTCGACGGTGACATGTACGAGGCGCTGTGGGCGGTTAAGACCGAGGAGGGCGTCGACATCACCCCTATCGCGCGCGGCCAGCTCCGCGCCTCGTTGCGGGGCCTGGCGCACGCGGTGGGGCTGCCCCCCCCGCTCCTGGGCGACATGCCGCCCGTGGTCAGCCAGGGGCCGCAGGCCGCGGCGGCGGCGCCGGCGCAGCAGCCCGAGGTGTACGAGATGAGCAGCGTCATCGACCAGGGGTCGAAAATCAAGTTCACGATGCTCCCTGCCCTGAAGCTCAAGGAACTCAACGCGAACTACGTGCGGGAGACTGGGCGCCCGCCCAGGGACTACGAGGACACGACGGACGTCCAGCTCTCGGCTCTGGCCGCCCGGCTCGCCGCGGGCGAGGCGCCGCACGTCGACTTCAGTGTCTTCGGACCCTTTGGGAAACGGATCCAGCGGCTCATGAACTTCCAGGCCGACGTCTGGGTGAGCGGCCAGCTGGTGAAGAAGAAGCTCGCCGGGCCAGAGAACTTCGAGACTTGGCGGAAGGGCTGGCGAGTCTTCCGCGTGGCGGCTATCAAGCTCCAACTTTCGAGGCCGGGTCCCATCGACGATTTTGAGGAAGGGGTGCGGCTCCTCAACTCGACCTTCCCCCGTGACTGGGGGGCCGTTTTCCTGACCGTCTGCCACTGCTTGGAGGAGCGCTGGCATCAGGTCCGCACGAAGATCGAGGACTTGGTGGAGAAGGGCAAGTTCCAGGGCGACTTCGACCGGGAGCGCCCCTGGGAAGCCGCATTCTCTTACACGGCCTACGACAGCGGGCAAGACTCGCAGTGGTGGAAGATCCACTTGGAGCTCCCGTGCCTGACCGGCAGGACGGGCGGCCGCTCTCGCACGTCGGAGGTCGAGGGCGGCCCATCAGCCGTCGACCAGATCGAGCGGCAATCCGATAAGCGGGCTGCTGACCACTACGGCGACGGCTCTGAACGCCCCA